GATTTTAAAGCAATGAATTTTGTTTTTATAATTAATTCAAAACCCGTAAATGATCTTTTTTAAGTATAATATGCTAACATCATAATTTTGTTGTGGGATTAAATATCGGTAGCGGGTTATACATGTAGATAACAATAAGCCTATATCGTGTGTCCAGAACTGTAAATTTCAGAATGCATATAACATATTTTTTTAAATATCAATTGGGACGGAAAAGGTACACACCGGGAAAATTTTAGTATCACTTGAATATCTAACTGCAGAACTGTACATGTAGCTTTCCGAAAAAAAAATAATTTATTGACGGACCGGAGTCTCTGGTCATCAATCCCATTTTTTTTCAGACCAGTGAACTTCAGTGCAGCTACTGAATATCACAAATTTATCATTCTTAATTAATACACTTTGACAACTTCATTTCAATTATTAAAATCATAATCGGCATGCAGCCTTTGTATCATAAACTATAAAACTATTTGTATCGTTAACCGTATAGAATTGAGTATTTTCTTTCAAATAATTGACTTGTAACTTACGTACATTACTTTTCTGGGTTAGTTTTAAAAAATACGAGAGAGAGAGAGAGAGAGAGAGAGAGAGAGAGAGAGAGAGAGAGACTCACTTGCTCATGTACATATATACCAGGTAGTTCCTGTATCAAATATTGTTCAATTTTCTTAATTTTATTTACAATACCAATCATAATCTCTCTATTCTGTAAATCTATTTGTTGATTATTTTCAACTTCAATCACAATATGTAGTACTAAAATGAAGTCCATGCACGGATCCTTTTGTACACCTGGAAATAATTTTTATTTAATCCTTCGTCCATGCCTTCCTCCTTCACGGAAAAAAGATAAATTAATAAATTAACCGAACGAGGTTGAAAAAATGCCGGACTATTTTTTTGCTCAAATTAACTGGATTGAATATACTTTTTTCCATTTCACTGTACACGTGTCCTGAATAAAACTGCGTGGTTTGGGTTTGTCAAAGTGTTTTTAGACCAGGATAAGTCATTCGCAACTTCTCGGGCCTTTCCAACTAACGGGAAAAAAAACTTGTATTACGTAGATCCCCCCCCCCTTTTTCCAAACTTTGAAATAAATGACTTTAAATGATCTTCGCTCAATGAGGGAAGATATTTTATCTGTTGAGTATTGAGTTTAAGTTTATTGAATGTAAAGTTATTACCCAAAATATACTAATTAGCTAGAAGGGACTTTCAACTCCGTCTATCCTTAATAAATAGGAATCGGCTCCATCTTGTATAAAATTTTAACATCCGGTAATGTTAAAACATTCGAGGTTGTTTTTCCGACCTCTGACGGAAACGCCCGAGATGATGCGATTGCGGAATCAGGATTTTTAAACATCTTCATTGGCCAGTTTCGCTTATTTTGCACTCCGGGGTTTTTGAAAAAAATGTGTCGATCGACATCCGAATAAAATGGTAATTAAATAGAGTGCCAGTATATCATTGGCGAAAATTTGTTTTATAAAAAGTGGTTCTTACAAATAGATCTATATATGTAGACAAGAAAACATTGATGTAACCATCAATTGTCGCCCGGGAAATAAATAAAGTAAACAATGGAAATGAGTCTTGATCATCAAACCGCTTCGATATGTGTGAAAAAGGCATGCGTCTAAATGATGGAGACGATAGTCAAGAATATTTTGAAAACTTATAGTCGGATGAAAATCGAACAAAAACGATACCCTTTTAAACTTTATCAATTCTTCAAGTAAATGTTGGCTGCATAAAATATAATCAGACACATACCTATTTTCAAAAATGTCTTTCACTTTAAGAATATAAACCACGAACTGTGTAAAGTACGTTTTTACGTTTTTATGTGATAAGTAAAATTCGATGTTCTAAAAAAAGGGACCTGTCATTTTTTCGATAGTAAATGATAAGCAACTTTATATATTAAATATGAAAAACATTTATATTTTTACAGGTTCACTTTATGGAAATAAATATATTGTGTATCTCGTAATTTATGAAGGGAAAGAACATTCTGATTAACAATCTTTATAATGTTTAGAAAACCTTTAATTCTGAATAACTTCTCCCACCTCAATCCCCATATACCAACACTTAAACTTATATGTATAGAGCAGCCCGGTCCTCCGGGCTGCAATAACCCTAAATAGCTAAAAATTTATTGGTTTTGTCTATAGCAGATGTTAATTTAGTTCTTAGCTGACATTAACTTACGTGTATAAATAAATATAAAAGCTATGTAATTGTAACCAAATATTCCGAAGCAAACATTCATAATTATAGGACTTATAGCTGATTAAATTTCCTCTCATCAGTAAACGTATATCCCCCCGGAAATAGATAAAATGCTTCCCTTCAGAGGCGAAGTTTTCAATCATTTTTTTTTTGGGGGGGGGGGGGTGCGTTAAAACGTCGATCGTAAAAAAAAATGACTATATAAAAATAATTTCAATTTTTAATCAGTACCCCATCTCTCATGCCAAAGGCTAAGTAAGATTTTCTGCTCACAATTTGTTTGCTCTCTGACTTCGATGTTGGCTTTCCCGGTGTAAGCATAATCGACGTTGTCGCTGTAAACCTGCTACTTGTAATTTTTTTCTCATTCTTATCTTTTCAAGAATCACTGGGTCAGTATCAACCAAACGTTGTTGATCAAATGAATGACCACATTCTCTTCCAACAGAAGATAATTAAGAAATATAAGTAGTAAAAATTGGAAAGGTCATTTGAAAAAAAATATTCTCTAGAAACCTGTGGGCCGGAATGAGAAAACATACTTATAATATCTCCCTGAAATAGTAAAGATTTAATTTTTTTTTCAAATCAGAATGGGTATTCAAAATTTAACATAGGAATTTATATCCCCCGCAAGCGAAGTGACTGGGCTGGGGGAGGGGGATTAGGAATAATATTGTCCGTCTGTCTGTCCGCTTGTGTAGCTGCCCGTCTGTCCCTCCAAGTTTGCCCAGGCTATGACTTTTTGGATGAACTGGAAGCTCATACTTGGTACAAAGATTGCCAATGATCCTAGGATGTGTCATGGTCTTGATCCAAGGTCATTCCAGCAAATTCAAGGTCAGTGGAGAAAGAATAAATGTTTTGTCAGAGCCATTTATTTGTAATTGAGAATCACTGGAAGCTCATACTTGATACAGAGATTGCTTGTGACAAAAATGTTTGCTCGACTTTGACAAAAAAATTGTATTACGATCTAGGCTGTAATTTTTTTATGTTCGCACTTGGTACAAAGATTGCTTATGGTCCGCCTGTTTTAGATGACTTAAAATAAGGTTATTTCAGCAAATTCAGGGTCACTGGCAGAAAAAGTTGTAAAATGCCTGTCTGGGATATGAATTTCTAAGGGGAATCACCAGAACCTCTTTCTTTAAACAGAGGTTGTTTGAGATTGAAGGCTTGTCTTGACACCGACCCAAGGTTATTCCGTCAAGTTCAAGGATACTGACAGAAAAAAAAAATTCTATTTCATGCTATGATTTAGTAATAGAAAATCACTGGAAGCTCTTACTTGAGACAGAGATTGCTTACGAACGGAGGCTGTGTCATGACCTTGATCAGAGGTCTTTCTGGCAAGTTCAAGGTCAGTTGCAGAGAAATAAAAAAAGAAAACATGTCCAGGCATAATTTTATTATTGTTTTTTTCCTACCGATTTTGTGCACGCGAGTTATCGGAAACGGGTTGTTTGATTTTCAGGAAAATTTCAGGTCTGATAGAAAATAAAAAAAATCTAGATATATTTTTTTATTTTGATGACCTCACTTCCGGTCAGGAGATTTCTGCGATTAGGTGATTTTTAGAGGGTCACTTTGTCCGCTCGTTTTTTCTAAAAAAAAACAAACACTTAAAATAGGAACATGATATTTTCAACAATGATAAAGCAATGTTCATAAATATATGTACTAGGTAGTTCATTTTTCCCGGAAGTGCCGCACTTTGACGCTTGGTATGCTCCAAAAATATTCTTATTGAGAATATCAAAATTTTTAGCATTTTTTCATGAATATCTCTTTACTTGTAAATGTTTTGTTAAAACATATAGAACAAAAGTTGTGCAGAATGGCAAGCTCTTTCATTTTATATCAACAATTAGGGCTGACCCCCAAAATAAGGAATCTGCAGGGGCTGAAAGTGTTTTCTCAATATCTCTAAAACTATTGAGAATTTGTGATACATAAAGAAGCAAAATTGTTCAAAATGACAAGTACATGTACAAGTGAATAAGATTGTCGAAAGTCGTCAAATAACGTTACTTCCGGCCAAAACGGAAGTAGTCAGAAATGCATATTTTTGCCGTTTTGGACATGTTATTAGTTCATTTATGTAACCAGAAGCGTCCAACCAAATTTATCATCCCTCAACATCACTTCCGGTCAAACCGGAAGTAGCCTGAAATAGCTTATTTTGCAGGTTTTGATGCAAAATTGTAATTTTAAAGTCACTGGAGAGGCAAAAACTCATTCCTTTCTCTTGTTGACGTCACTTCCGGTCAAAACAGGACGGAGGACCTACTCGTTGCTTTGCAACGAGCTTTGCTCTAGTTCTGTTTTATATTTCTATGGATCTCTTACAGTGTTGAATTATACTCAGGTGACCGTTAAGGCCCTTGGGCCCCTTGTTTAGACTGTATTCAGTATGGAGAAAAAATTTTACTTCTAATGTATTTAAGGAAAGTATTTTTTTTAAGTATTATGAGTGTTACTGGAGTGTGAATCAAACAGATTTGTCAAGTAGTCATATTTCATTAAGCGCTAGCAACATTTTCCTACTTTCAAGTCTGTGTGATTTACACACCAATAACATATAGTTTCCGTCGCGTCATTGTGAAGTCACAATAACACAACACGTTTCTACGTGGATATTTCTACGTGTGACTCTACACCAAAATGGCATTCAAATCAATTTGATAGTTGGCTTAAAAAAACTGTAAATATTTGAAAATGTTTATTTTATTTCTTTTAACATATAGATATCAATGAGTGCGCCAGTAACCCATGCATCAGTGGAGGAATATGTCACAATCTGCATAACAGATATACTTGTTCTTGTCGGCCCGGGTATCATGGAACACGTTGTGAACTCGGTAAAAAATTTGTACATTGTATTATGTCTTCTATTTATACGTGTAGAAGGTCATCAAAGTTATGAAAAAAAATCTTCAATGACGCCCCCCCCCTTTGAAATAATTTAAAGTTAATTTTATATATTAATCATACTCTCTGGATGCATAATGATCTCTCTGGATGCATAATGATCCAATTAATGGACAGTTCGATATCAAATTATTCAACTTTATATATTAGATTGATTGATTGATTATTGTTGTTTTACGCCGAGTCGGCAATATTTCAGCCATATTTCGGCGGGTTTATATATTAGAGAAATAATTATTAACAGAGAATGTGAGAGAAAACTTGTTTAAAAAATGCATTTCCATGAAATAATTCTGATTTTTTCACGATTAAAACCTTGTCATCAAAAAAAAAAAAAGAAAAAAAAATTCAATGCGACTGTAATGGTATTTCAACAGAAGAAAAATCCTTCTTTCGAATTTAAAAAAAATTAAATAAAACAACGCTTAGAAACGCTTCACATTTTTTTCTTTGAAGCTACAACCAAGTCAAATCTTTTTCTGCGGAATATTATTTCAAGGATCCATTTTCATCAAACCCATTCAAATTCTTTTTTGGTCAAATTCTTTCTAGGTCATCATTATTTCCGTACTTTTCTCCCTTTTTCGCAACTAAAATGGAATCAATTAAGATTCAATCTAGATTCTGATGTATGCAAATGCTATTACATTCAACATTTGTGGATATTATCTAATGTATGATTAACAAAGTTTTTCGAAAGGGAAGTCTTCTCTAAACTTTTCAACGTTTTCTCGCTATTTACACATAAAGTACCTTTAGCAGAAAATGTACATTGTAACTTAGTATATATTAATCTTTTTGAAGACACATAACATAAAACTTAATCATTAGGAATGAAAACATGATGGTGAATATTGCAATACTGATGATGTTTAACAAATCAAGTAGTATGAATTTAATATGAATTTTTTATATCACAAAAATCGGGTTTATTATCTTTGCATCATTTCATTTTTTTTCATTTTATTCAGGTAAAATTATCACAGAATGTCATGATAACACACAATTAAAACATTACAGATTAGCCCACTAATAGAAAAAAAAAAACAGACATTATCTCAGCACTATGCTACTTAATAAAGATCGAATTAATCATTATAACACTTTTCATTGCTTGGGGGCTAACATTAAATTTGCATTTTTGTTCCCAGAAGTACAAAAGAAATAATTTAAGTTTACACGAAAAGAACGATCTGTCATAAATCCTTAGTTTCAGAATAAGTAACAATTACTTTAAATGGTGAAAACTTCTTTTTAGAGCCTCTGTGGCAAATTCGTTTTTCTATCATTTTCTAACATTCATTCCTTTGGATAACATCCACCAAATAATATTATTGGAATACATTGATTTCGTACACGGATAATGATGATCATTTATAATATACACATAAATATTTTAAATCATAATGTAGTTTAAAACAATTATAGAAGAAACCCTTGATTGCACAGAGAACCCTGTAACAATATGATTAACAGATTTACTTGTTCACAAAGTTTAGCATGCTTATGCGGCAAAACCAGACAACAAGACACCTTTTCTAAGTTGATGTGATGACATACAATTCGCCTTTGATTGCAAATGTTCTGGAAAGAAAGCACAAAACTAATATTTTTATATGGATACTTCTTAGTGCTACATGTATAAAATCAAATAGAGAACATCATATATCCAATACAAATATATACACGTACTAGTATAATTGAATTTTGAGACAGTCCTAGCCTTACCAGTTGGTAAATCCAAACCATTCCATTTTGAGTTTGTAAACATTACGCATTTATAAGGGTAGTAGAAATTAGAAATGTTATAAGGGATATAAGGGCTTTCTTTTAGATTAAAATAAATTAAATAAAATGCTGTATTTATATTAACTTACTATTTTTCAGTGTTTGCAACGAATACACGTGTTTAATACTTCTTCAGAAGATCATTTTTCCCAGAATTTTCTCATGATTAAAAAATTGTATGAAATATCAAGGAAAGAATGTTAAAATATTGTCGTTTTTTAGGGATAAATGCTTATTTCATTTCTTTTGACATGTAGATATCAATGAGTGTGCCAGTAACCCATGCATGCACAGAGGAACATGTCACAATTTGATTAACAGATACACTTGTTCTTGTCAACCTGGGTATCATGGAACACGCTGTGAACTCGGTAAAAATTTGTACATTGTGTTGTTTCAACCATTTCATGGAAAGAAATGGTAACTTTAAATGACCTTAAAAGAATTAGAACATATTACATGTACATTGAGCATAGTCGTTAGAAATGAAAACATAATTCAAAAACTAGATAGTGAATATTTTTAACATATCTAGTACATGTAGTTTGAATTTATTGTCTTATGAAACATGGTCTTTTAGTTATCATTACAATTTGCTTTTATACAAGGCCTAACATCCTAAAATGGTTTCATATCAATCGAACGAGTAGTTTTCGGGAACAGTTTCAAAAAAAGTACCAGAGATGAAAGTAGAAAAAAAAGATAATAGCAAGACACAGAGTAAGGCAATACCCAAACTTCTTTAGGGAACACAATAAGAAAAAAAAAACAAGTGCATTAGTAAATTCATATTACTTTAAAAGTATTTAATGGAGATTCTGTTTCAATATTTGTCATCAGATTCATCTCTTCACGCACAAACTTTTGCAGTGAAATATATGGAGATAACGAACAGTATTCAAGCTCAAAAGTCCATTGAACATTACAAAATAGGAGCAGAGCAAACATGGACCTCCAAAACATCAGAGGTGGGATCAGGTGCCATGGAGGAATGAGCATCCCCTGCCGACCGGTCACACCCGCCGTGTCCTCCTTGTCATGATCGGGAAATAACGGGAAAATCCGTCGACAATTCAGTGTGTAAATAATGGCCTAACAGTTAGAATGAAAAACGTCAGTCAGCATTTGACTCAATGATAAATTGTATTTGCTGACAAGAGCATTGTATCGACCATAGAACTTATGAAATGGTGACTTTAAACGAGACTGCTGATATTCTTGTTTCATCAACTTGTTTGTCAATAATTTACCTCGTTTTAGAAATTGTATATACGTAGAGCATGCTCTCGAATCAACTGAGAGATAGAAACCCCGTATGCAGGTGATGAAGGTATATTGCTGCATAAGGGAAGTTGACGATTGAAAAGTTAAAGTCATCACGTTTATCATAAACCTTGGTTGTTAGATTACCATTAATGTCTTTTTCAAGTAAAATATCCAAATATGAAACAGATGTGCCAGACTCTGTGGTATCTTTTATTTCAAGCTCACAAGGATATATCGTATCGACATAAGAATGGTAATATCCATTGTTAATTGACAATGCGTCGTCGATATATCTAAATGTCGAGTTGAAGCGTATTAATGTCAACCTTATTATGCCTCAAAAACTTATAATAACGCTAATTTTCAATTTTCATGATGTGATTTTTTTTTCAAAAATATAATTTATCAACAAAATTTACAGGTAAGAAAACACAGGAAACTCCGTGAATAGTACAATTCTCTTTTCTGCTTGAACTTTCAGTAAGGTGTGACATTCTCGGCTATACATAATTAGCGTCTCTCAAATAGTGACCTAGATTCTCATTGATTGCAAGCTTAGCTCATCAATACTGAAATTTACACTTCTTTTCATTCACGGGTGAAATACACGTGGGATAAAAATGAGTCAGACGTCAACGAGTGACGCAAGGAACCTATTACATCGTTTCTGACAGTAAAAAGGTGTGGCTTATGTCAACTCATTGTTTGTTAACAACAATCTAAAGTTGCTAATGTTATTAATTTCTTAACCAATGAGAATCTAGGTAACCATCTGAGAGACGCTAATTGTGTATCGCCGAGAATATCACGCCTTACTGAAAGTTTAAGCAGAAAAGAGAATTGTACTAAACATCACCGCTAATTATATGATATGGGGGCTACTTGTTTTTCTATTTTAAACTTACAGGTCTCATATACTTTTTGTCAAAAAATATATATAATTAACTACTGATACACAACTCGCCTTACCGAAATATATGTTCAAATACTATTTGTAATTGAGTTTGGACACATTTTAAGTTTTGAAATATGTAGGATTTAGGCACGTTAAAAACATTACATATTGAAAGTTAAAGGTTTTTTTCGTACATTTCATATAATAAACAGCATTAGTATTCTTTATAAATTTAAAATAATTATTTTACTAGGGCCTGTGTTTTGCAAATATGTATGTATACTTATTCTTCTTAGAAAATTTTCGAATTTTCTTATGATTCAATTTTTCTTCCTCCAAAGTCATTAAGTATGAAGGAATAAATTATTTTTCTTTTGAAAAATGTTAAAAATATTTTTTTTTTATTTTAATCTTTCATTTTATTTCTTTTAACATGTAGATATCAATGAGTGTGCCAGTAACCCATGCATCAACGAAGGAACATGTCACAATTTGATTAATAGATATACCTGTTCTTGTCAACCTGGGTATCATGGAACACGTTGTGAACTCGGTAAAATTTAGGCAAAGTCTTATTTTACCGTATTTATCGTATATAATGATATCTATGAAGACGCAAAGAACGTTATTCTAAAGGCTATAAGTACTTCAGAAAAGCTAATGTAGTTTTAGACTTAGTAAGCATTGATCTTTAAAAGACATATAATCTTCATCCTTAGGAATTGAACAATGAATATTTTTGAAGAATAATTAGTATGAATTAATTCTTTGAAAACTACTCAATATGTATATATTGTAATTAAACATCTTTTTAAAATGGAAAAGAAATAAGGTATTTGTACATCAAAAAATAGTCGTAAAAATTTACTTCTATCTCAACTTATGCTGAACAAAATCTTGTATGCTATATAAACTTAAGAATAATTATTTTCCCATGCTGTTTGTTTATCAAGTGCATTTTCATGCCTATCTACTCTCATTTAGAGTATTTTTACAGAATTTGTTTTTAATAATTTGTGTTTTCATTTTTCATTTTTATTGAAGATGGAGAAATGAATGATAATCTTCGTACATAATGTCAATTAAAAAAAATTTATTTCCTTTCTTTTAACATGTAGATATCAATGAGTGTGCCAGTAACCCGTGCATGCACGGAGGAACATGTCACAATTTGATTAACAGATTTACTTGTTCCTGTCAACCTGGGTATCATGGAACACGCTGTGAACTCGGTATTTTTTTTTCTTGTTATCTACCCACTAGTGAATATTGATGTAACACAATCACGTAGCGTTGTGATCGGATCGCTACACTGTGGTTTTGTAAATCCATATCACCATTCTCTGAATCTGGATAATTATGTATAAACCAGAATACAATTTATTTCCCTTGCATATCACATAAAAATCATTGAAATATTTATACCCCCGCTCCGAAGGAGAGGGGGGTATACTGTTTTACCCTTGTGTGTCTGTCTGTCCGTCCGTCTGTCTTTGTGTGTGTCTGTAACAAATTTGGTCGCAGTTTTCTCAGCAACTACTCATTGCAGATGCTTGAAATTTTAGCACAATCTTTTTTTAGGCATGCCATATAGTGGGATTCATTTTTGTACAAATCCGATGTCAACTTCCTGTTTATCCGTGTGTCTGTCCGTACCATACATAACAAATTTTGGTCGCAGTTTCCTCATGAGCTACTACTCATTGCAGGTGCTTGAAATTTTAACACACTGTTTGTTTAGGCATGCCATATGTTGGGATTCATTTTTGTACAAATTCGATGTCAATTTTCTGATTATCACTGTGTTTGTCCATAACTGAACTTGTGTATTCACATCAGAGCGGGGGTATTATTAGTCAGCATTAGCTTACAGACTTCTTGTTTGTTAAATGAATAAACGTTCATTTCTACAAAACAAAAGACTGACACAGATCATTAGATAATTCGGATTTGCTTCTCGTTTGATCTGATGATTCGCTCCTGTCAACTTTTGTCAACCAGACTATCCGATTAAGGCACTGATATTATGATATATACAGGTGTATACTCTTTTTTCACTTAATTTATCGAAAAAAAAAATATGCAGCTTAAATTCACAGAGACTTTTAAAAAAGATAAGCCCTTCATTGCAGTTTATGTTTTTTTTATGGATGTCAAATCGGTCAATTTTTGATAATCGGTTACTCGGATATTTTTTCCGATCGAATACCCGGGTACTCGGTAAAAACGTTTATACAAGTGTGTTAATTTTCTTGAACCCCGTTAAGCTCTGTTAAAACCCAAAGCTGTTCTTATCATGTTTATAAATGTATATAAACGGAAATGATTTTTTTGGAATGACAATTTATCAAATAAACACAAGAGACACAATTAATACATCAAAAATTACAAGTGGTTTACAGAATTACAGTTCTTTCATTAGGATCTATTTGATCAACGCAAGAGGAGGACAATATGTTAAGCAGGTTTGTGATGATTAGACTAGCAAAAGAGAAGGAACGGACGTTGTTGGTATCGCTAGTTTAATATTATTTTATATGTTGGTTGTTTCTCCCGTATACACTTAACTTACTACGCAAACTGACTTTCAACATTTTTTTAAATCTTTAGTTATTTCTAAATATTTCTTCAATTTTGAAGTGGGTAGCGGCATTCCTATGTATGTCCAATTTTGCTGTCGTATATTAACTAAATAATTTAAAATGATTGAAAAATAATAGACCATACTTATACGATGTTCATTGAAAACAATCATTAAAGCCATCCAAAAATTAAGGACCACTATAGGTGAGAAAAGCTGTGGACCGGGTGATTGGTCACTTATTACTGTATATACACCGCCACAGGCGATAACGGGTATTTTACGGGTGTAGTTAACGACACGCTAATTACCGTATGCATACTTATGTTATCTTTGATAAGTTTTTGAAAAAAGTATGTACTTTGAAATAAGAAAAAATGCACATCCGAGTAACAGAGTACCATTTTTAGTATTCGATACTCGGACGTTCGATCGAGTACCCGGTTAACCGGGTACTCGTTGACATCCCTAGTTTTTTTTTTTTTTTTTTTTTTTTTTTTACCAATTATGCATTGACCTTTGGAAGATATATAACATTTGACCTAATCTGTCGGAATAAATATATGATCATGAACAGTGAATATTTTTAAATTATAGTTATTTTTTTTATATGTTTTTCTTATATAACTTACGTCTAAATTTGAATCGTAAAATGCTTTCTTAGTTTAGTTTGGGACGAAGATTTGCAGCGTTGCACTTGAGTCAGCTGGTTGAGTAATTCTTGTCTGCAATCATTGCTACCTTTCATAAATAGAGGAAGACATTTATTGTTTATATTCATACCTGTATACATGTATATCTGATAAAGTTGATGAAAGTATATAAAGTTCAATATTGAGTTATATAGGTGCACGTAACATTGCCGGATGAGCCATGAAGCTCTTGCATTTGACACTGCTTAAGAAATTGCTTAAAAGCTGGTCTAAATAGTTGTATTTGTTGATTCTGTGAAATGATGGACCAACAGTCAGTTTCATAAGAGATAAAGAAAATGTAAATAAAAAAATTTGGCTTAATAAAAATTCTCAGTATATCATTGGTATCATTGTTCCACAAGGTAACTAGAATTCATCTAACTTAAAGTGACAGTACGGCGCGTCTCATCAAAAAACTGACTAGATAAAATTTTCCGACAAGATTTGGAATTTTTTTACTACTCATAAATATATAAACTTTCAGAAAATTACAACTTTTACAATTAAATAATTTGGATTATTTCATTAAAATTAATAGTTATTCATGGGACGTAAATATATACATCGCAACGTGTTCGGGGTTCCACATTCCATGCTATGCACGCATGCGTAGTTTTCATAAACAAAACAGCATGGTTAGAGAGGGAATCCCGGTAGGCCTGCTACATTGACAAAGTCGACCAAAAAGAAAAAGAAACTGAAAACAGAACTTGAAAAAGCAACTTTCCTGACTAAAATTTAGTTTGGGGATTAATATAATCGCTGGATAAGGAAGAAACGGGAACTCGGCGACACTCACGCAGGGCTCTCGAAGGTTCTATTCGACAGGTTTGTTGATACTTGTTATCATTTCCTCATTTTTCCGTCGCTTTCAAAGAAAAAAAAATAGTGTAATCTCAACATAAAAAATACATCTTTGACTTATAAACATTGTTGCCATTTGAAATGCTAATTTTTTTTAACTGTGCAGAAACATATTTTGTTTGACATTTGCCGCGATAACGTATGATTAGTTGGTTTTTCCTTTCTCGGACCCCAATACACAAAACGTAAACATTTGTACTTTTAATTTCTGTTAAATTCGCCTGAATGCAGACTAAAATCTTTTCGATTATTATTTTAGATTATTTTATCAGATAGTTATGATAATTTTTTGTTTTTGAAAATTGCTTTCACCTAATATTCATTATAAATGTAAACGCTACAGTGTAGGCACGTGCCGTTTTAGAATTCACGTGGTACAAATAAACAGATCTAAGATTGCTCCAGTTCGTACGACCCTTGATTTTCCGGCAGATTCTAATTACGTTAATTTTGTTTGAGTAGAGAATATTTCTGTTTCTCAAACTGCTTACATCAACTTTATACCTTATTTCTTAATGACATATTGGGTAAATTTGGATGAAAAAGCACATATTTTGCAGCCGTACTGTCGCTTTAACCTTTACCAAGTAAAATAAACACTCGTAACATCGTTCGTCTCAGAATAAACCATATATTTTCTTGAATGGCTTTTAATTTACAAGTTTTTTTTCAGTATCTTTGTGACATTTTGGGCTTGGATTATTCATTCTTTCTTTTGGTAACTTCCAATTAAGAGTATGATGGTAATACAGTGGTTTTGTTCATCAAAAAATTACCATTCATAATAGTCCATTATATTTAATCAGATGAACCGAGTGTGTAAGTAGCTCTTATCTGCATTGAAAACCCAGTCATATTACGATGAGATGAATAGAATTACTTGCTCATGCAAACATAATAGCTGAATATTGTTTTTGGGGTCGTTATGCGATAAAAACATTGAATTTGCTGAATTTTCCCTGTTTCATCATGTTATCTTTAAAATCCGTGATCAATTGCAAAGATTTCAGGCGAAAAAGAAACCTCGGCGAGGAAACATTATCTCCAAGAGATACTTGTTTTGCTCCAGAACTTACATGTCTCATTTTTTTTATTGAAATGTATACGGTATCCAAAAGCTTTCCCATACGATGTTTAAATACTTTTCATTTTTAAAAGGTAGTAGAAAATTGGCATGTTAGAAAAGAGAGAATGTTCTTCTCCATTAACAATATACAAGCATTTTCATCAATGAACATCCAGTATTCTTTATAAGTTTTTTTTTCTTTGTACAACAAGTGTACATACTTACTAATTCTGCTAAGATTTGTTCAGAATTTATTCAATGAACTGCAAACGATAGAATTGTTCTCCCGCCTACCTCCAAGTCAACACATTTTAATTATTTTTCATATCTATATAGATATTTATATGAATTTTCATAAAACATTGCTTCTTTAGGAAAACAAAGAGAGATAACTCTATACTTTTGGAAAAACTTGTGTGTTTCACTATAGAAATCAACGGAAAACGGAAAATATTTTTAAAACATCTCCCCCCCCCCCCCCCCGGTGAAACAAAAATTCCTTTTTACAGGTAATATGGACTGTTATTTCACAAAATCATACCAAAGCTTTTTGTTTTCACGGAGGGAAACATATGTTTACAGACGTAAAAAACAACAAAAATGCTTATTTTTTCACCAATTTCAAAGGGGTTTACAACTAAAACATTGTATTTTATTAATAATATATGTTTGATTTTATATGAGTAAAACATAAGAAAAGATTTAAGGAACATTTATTCATATCCAAGAATATTTTTAAAATATGGTGATACTTTAAAGCCCGATTTCAGTGAAAAATATCGTCTACCCCCCTTATTAGGTCACCTGAGTCACTCAGGTGACCTATTGCTATCCGTTCTCGTCCGTCGGCGTGCGTCGTGCGTCGTGCGTTAACATTTGAACATTTTTTGCTTCTTCTCTGAAACCGCTTAACCAATTTCAACCAAATTTTGCATATAGCATCTATGGGTGAAGGGGAACAAAAATTGTGAATTTCATGGTCCCTGCCCCCCTGGGGCCTGAGGGGTGGGGCTAAAACCACCAAAAATAATGCAATCTTTAAAAATCTTCTTCTTTACTCCTGGACATCAAGCAGTCAAACTCATTGTAATAAGCATTGAATCCTCTACCAAAATTGTGAAATTCATAGCCCCAGGGTCAGGGGTTCTGGCCCCAGGGTGGGGCTATATAGATCATATAGTGAAAGTGCATTATTTCTTTGAAAATCTTCTTCTCTGCTCCTGGGTATTAAATAAGGTAATTAAGTACATAGTTATGAAGAGCAAGAGTGCCTCTTCCAAAATTGTGAAATTCATGGCCCCAGGGTCAGGGGTTCTGGTGTTAGGGCGGGGCTCTATAGATTATATAGTGAAAATGCATTTATTCTTTGAAAATCTTCTTCTCTGCTCCTGGGTATTAAATAAAGTAACTAAGTACATAGTTATGATGAGCAAGAGTGCCTCTTCCAAAATTGTGAAATTCATGGCCCCGGGGTTAGGGGTTCTGGTGTAAGGGCGGGGCTCTATTGATAATATAGTGAAAATGCATTAATTCTTTGAAAATCTTCTTCTCTGCTCCTGGGTATTAAATAAAGTAACTAAGTACATATTTATGATGAGCAAGAGTGCATCTTCCAAAATTATGAATGTCATGGCCCCAGGGTCAGGGGTTCTGGTGTTAGGGCGGGGCTCTATCAACTATCTAGTGAAAGTGCATTAATTCTTTGAAATCTTCTCTGCTCCTGGGTATTAAATTAAGTAACTAAGTACATAGTTATGATGAGCAAGAGAGCCTCTTCCCACATTGTGAAATTCATGGCCCCTTGGTCAGGGGTTCTGGTGTTAGGGTAGGGCTCTATAGACTATATAGTGAAAATGCATTAATTCTTTGAAAATCTTCTCCTCTGCTCCTGGGCATTAAGGTGATAAACTAAGTACATAGTTATGATGAGGAGGTGGGCCCCTTCCAGAATTGTGAAAGCCATGGCCCCTGGGTCAGGGGTTCTGGTGTTAGGGCAGGGCTCTATTGATTATATAGTGAAAATGCATTAATTCTTTGAAAATCTTCTTCTCTGCTACTGGAGATTATTTAAACAAACTAAGTGCATGGTTATGATGCATAAGGATGCCTTTTCAAAAATTGTGAATTTCATGGCCCCAGGGTCAGGGGTACTGGTGTTAGGGCAGGGCTCTATTGAATATATAGTGAAAATGCATTGATTCTTTGAAAATCTTCTTCTCTGCTACTGGAGATTATTTAAACAAACTAAGTGCATGGTTATGATGCATAAGGTTGCCTTTTTAAAAATTGTGAATTTCATGGCCCCAGGGTCAGGGGTTCCGGTGTTAGGGCGGGGCTCTATTGATTATATAGTGAAAATGCATTGATTCTATGAAAATCTTCTACTTTGCTACTGGAGATTATTTAAACAAACTAAGTGCATGATTATGATAGGCAAGGATGCCTCTTCCAAAATTTTCAAATACATGGCCTCAGGTTTTGGGGTTCTTGAGGAGGGGGGAGGGGGGCTCTATTGATTATAAAGTGAAAATGCATTAATTCTATTAATTAATCATTAACTAATCCTGTCTGCTCCTTAGTGTTGAGCTGATAAATAAATTGCTTAGCTATGATGAAGATGGGAGCTTCGAACAGAATTTTTAAATCTTGTGGTCCTAGGGTCAGGGGTTCTGGCATAACGAGGAAGGGGGGGGGGGCTTTTGATAATATAGTGGAAAAGTGTTAATTCTTTGAAGTCCATAGTTATGATGATGAGGGTAACTCTTCCAAATTTGTAAATTTCTTGACCTTTGGTCTTGGGTTCTGGTGTTAGGGTAAGGCTTTGTTGAATCTGTAGTGAAAATGCATTGTACCTGTGAAATTCTTCTCTGCTTCTGGGCATATCGAAAGCAAACTGAGTAAAAGTTTAAATGATATAAGTTAGCGTATTTCTACCAGACTTTTGAACATCTGGACAATTTGTCTAAGCATTCTGGTCCTGGACAGGGCTCTATTAATTTGTATTCTACTGAGAGAAGTTATTCCCCTTTTCCATTCACTTTTGATAATTAATCACTGTAAATAATGTATTTGAAAGATTAATAGAATAAGATAATTATGCAAGAATGTTTATCGTATAATTCAAAAAGTACTTTCTTAGTTTTAATAATCAGGCAGACCTGTAAGTAATAGATAAATAAAAATGAGACAAAAATAACTTATCTTATTAAAGGTTCTTCAAAGACCATATTAGAGAGGTCAATGCTAGAGGTCTTAATATGGGTTTAAAAATAGTACAGAAGCACTAATAGTTTGTTGATAGTCTGCATGGTGATAATATTAAGTGGGGGACAGATTAGAACTTAAGTTATGAGTTGATACTGAATACTAGACTAATTATTTTGTTGATCCTGATCTTCCTACTTCTCTTGCTTTAGGGCAACAAAGCTTCATCTATCAGTGTATTTAACTTCTAAATTGTTGTATTATACTCAGGTGACCGTTAAGGACCTTGGGCCTCTTGTTTAAAGAGGGGTAATTAACTATTTAACACTGGAATTAAAATTATCAGTCAATTACCATTGAACTGTTCTTTGCATTCAACAAAGATTTTACGGTCAAATTGCCATTAGTGTTGAATTAAATGGGTGTAGAATGTTGGCGGGAATCGAGAGTTAGCGTGCGTAGTTCTTTTCTCATTCCAATTTTATTGAATAATATAGAGGAGAAAATAAACTGATTGTTTTTGGTAATGTGTAACATTATTGGCACTTAAAAAATATTTTTCATTTCTATTGAAATGTAGATATCAACGAGTGTGCCAGTAATCCATGCATCAACGGAGCAACATGTCATAATTTAATAAACAGATACACCTGTTCTTGTCCACCTGGTTATTATGGAACACGCTGTGAACTCGGTAAAAATTTTACATAGTGTTGTAGCAGTCTATTTATAGAAAATGATGATGATTTGAAAATCTTTCAGAAGGATAACGTTATCATGTAAAATGGCGTTCATAAGATTTTGTGTTTTTGTTACGTTTTTCTTTCCTAAACGCCTCAACATTACATTGGGATTTTTATTCTCGTTTGAAGTCATCTTTCCGCAAGTGTTTCGGTCGATACAATGACCTTGTCAGCACATACAACCTATCATTGAGTCAAATGCTGACTAAAGTTTTTCATACTAATTGTTAGGCCAGTATTTATACACTGAACTGTCTACGGATTTTTCCGGTTTTTGTTTCCCGATCATGACAAGGAGCACACGGCGGGTGTGACCGGTCGGCAGGGGATGCTTACTCCTCCATGGCACCTGATCCCACCTCTAAATTTTGAGGTCTGTGTTTGCTTTGCTCCAAATTTGTATCGTTTCATTGGACTTTCGAGATTGAATACTGTTCTTTATCTTCATATTTCATTCAGAAGGTGAAACACACATCTTACTAAATACATCATTTTGAATGTCATTTGGCATAGAAAGCTTTTTTACTATTACCTACATGTATGTGACTATTTGGTTTTCTATCCAAATTTTCTCTCAAATAACACCCCCTCCCCTTTTGAGTATTATGGGAATAGACAGAATTTGTTCATGATCAGTTATGATTATATTATTGTACTTTGTTAAAAGAACGAATGTGCAAGTAACCACTGTTTAAATAGAGGACCCTGTCACTATTCGATTAACAGAATTACTCTTTCATTTTAAGAGTGTTTTAAGGTTATCTGGATCCCAGTGTTTCCTGTGTCAATAACGGTATATAGACAAAATCGCAAGTTTATGTTAGTTCTCCGCTGATAAAGTTTGTAGGGATATTACTACTTATAATAAATATGATAAAGCATACTGGTAGCCATGATGTTCAAAATAATATTATACTGTATAGAAGGAAAATAACTACCTGTTTGAATATTTGCTATATTCACGGTGTTAATAATTTAGTAAATTTAAGAAACAATGAATAAGCTGGAAATAAAATTAAGTTTTTCTTCTTTTTTGTTGTTGTTGTTGGGGGGATATGAATCTAGACTTCCAGTAGGTACCTATTACGTAGTCATTCAGTAATTACGGATTGTACTTCAAAACACAAGAGTCGTACGCATGAATGTTGATTAACATTACCTTGGGCACTTCTCACCTGATTTTATAGATATAGAGTATAGATTTTGAGTAATCCTGTTCTTTTTTTTTTTCAAATTTTATTTATTCAAAAAAAAACAACAGATTTTTAATCACATGTTTCCGAGAATTACTGATGCTAAAATAAAATACAAAAATTTCTAGTTCATGTACTTTTATTTTCTATCTATATGTGAAAAATAAGAAAGAGCTGGGCTGTACAATTTTAACATTGGCAATGCTAGTATTTTATACGCAAGCCCATTTAGGACCTATCGAAAATATTTTTGAAATCGATTTAACTATAATTGTCGAATTTGCCAAAAATAATTGAATTCCTTATAATGATTTTCTAAATTCATGATATATAACGAATTTAATGTTTAAACAAAATTGTTGACTTTGTAATAACGAATTCAAAATAACGAATTAAATTTGTGTTGACTGATTTCATAAATCATAATTTTAAATCGTTTAATTCATTTTAAAGGATTTATGATAATTGTTTTAACATATTTCTGTCTTATCTTTGATAATAGATTGCAGATTTTTCAATGTCATTTGTGATGAGGAATTCTTTAAATATGTAATAACGAAAGTGAGTTTGATTAACCACATCTATACGGATTCCTAAACTTCATAATACTACTTTTCCTCACGATATATTAGAGATAAGGCTTTTTCTTGTCATAGACAACTGCTTCTTTGATAAAAATGGAACTCAGAAATTTTCGTATAATGTGATTGGTCATCTACAAAAATACTTTGTTTAATTGTTAAAATTCATTCCGATTCTACACACAAGCACTCTGGGGTTTATATCAAAAAGATGCCGGAGTTCCTGATAGATAACATCTTTGCTGTCTTTTGAGACAAGGTCTTCCAAAATCTGTTGGAATTCCAAAAGGAACTTATTGTGCTTCTTCATTAGCCTACCTATTTTTATATTCGTTTGAATCAGAATTTATTCAAAACTTCTACATGAGAAGAAGAAGAAAGCTCTTGCTTTGACCTTAAACTCGACATTTATATATATCGACGACGTTTTATCAATTAACAACTGTTTCTTTCATGCATATTTCAACTCGATATAGCTCAGTGAACTCGAAATAAAGGACACCATGGAGTCTCTCACATTGGTCATATTTGGATATTTCATTAGCTTTAAACGATTATGTCCAACTACATGTAACAACAAAACTGTATAACAAACGAAATGACTTCAGCTTTTCCATCTACCTCATACCAAATTAGGAAAGTTAAGAAGTTAATTTAGACCATACAATGTTGAAAAAGATCCTCTTGTTTTTTTCTCGGAAAAAATCGTAACTGAAATAAAGTAAATAAAACTGTTTTACTGATTTGCAATTCTTCAAATTTTGGAAATATGCAAAGAACTAAAGATTGAAAAGAAGATGTCTATTTATTTTTAAGAGTCAGGTGTAATCACACTGCCGAAGACTTGCTTTAGTATTTTCATTTTATTCTTAAGATAAAGACGAATGTGCCAGTAATCCATGTTTGCATGGAGCAACATGTCACAACTTGATTAATAGATTTACTTGTTCGTGTCATGATGGGTTTCAAGGACCACGATGTGAACATGGTAAGTGTAATGTTTATGCTTTGTTCCACGAAAATAAAAAACCAACATGACTACGATAAACTTATTCTATTTCTTTCATTAAATTTCATAAATTGAGATTTTGAAAGGTTTGCTTAAGTAAATGATGCAGTTCAAGAACATTTGTAGAAAAAGTATAAATCCTGTCAGTTTCAGGTTTCGTTGATATAGAAATATTTTAAGCTCCTTTACATGTATTGTTAGACAGAACATGATGATAACATTACGAATTCAAATGAGCTTACTTTGGATACATGTAGTTCTTGTCAAAAATTTAAAAACACTTAAAAATGCATTTTCATATTATTTTTAAAAAATTGCATTCCCATTATATTCTAGTTGTTTAAAAGATTCCTCTTATAATTTTTGTTTAGTTTGATTTATTTATGACTTAAAACCAGAACAATTTCTGCGCTGTTTTTATCGTAGATTCAACTGAGGCTCTGTCTAGCCTGCTTTCAGTTGAGGCTTCGACTGATAGAAAATATACTAATAGACAAGGTCACGTGACCAAATTAAAACTCTAGAACACCAATTCTAAAAAAAAAAATTCAGAGCACGGCACAACTTGAAACATAACGAAATCACACCTCAAAATTGGCATAATATATTAATAATTTGAAGGGAAAATAAAGTACAGTTGCTGAAGGCCAGAAATATAGAATGATATATCAACCAGGCAAATCAATATACTGTGCATGAATGAAGCTATATACTCCTTTCACTTTGCTACATAAATATGAAAATACAAGAAGCTTAATATCTGAGTATTTCACTTTTTTTCTAGATATAGATGAGTGTGCTAGTAACCCATGTAACAATGGCGGAACATGTCACAACCTGGAGAACAAATTCACTTGTTCGTGTTTAGATGGATATTACGGAACACAATGCGAACATGGTAAAATTAGATGTAGTTAATTCAATTAACCTTCAGAGAGAGAGCTCTTCTCCTTTGAATTTCTTTATAGTGTTTACATTATTTTGTTTATTTGGTGGTGGGGAGGGCATCAGAGGTGCAACGTAGGAATCTACTTATGAAAGCAAAATATTCCTTTTTGGAAAACATGCAAAGTTACGTATTACGGACCATAACTCTTTAATTGGTAACTTATTGTATATCAAAATATATAGAAGAATAGGTCACTTGGGGAATTCATTTATTTCCTTTCTTTTAGATATTAACGAGTGTGCTAGTAACCCATGTAACAATGGCGGAACATGTCACGATTTAAGAAACAATTTTACATGTTCATGTCTGAATGGGTATTACGGAACACTTTGTGAGCTTGGTAAGTTTGAGTATTGACGCTTCAATTATCTTTTAAAAAATTCAAGTGAGATGGTCGCTTCTGAATTAGAGATTAAGAAGCGTTATTTAATAATTCGTGATACTATCAAAAGATTCCTTAAATCTTGATATAATGGCAATTATGACATGAAAATATTCAACTATCATTTTAATAAATTCATTTTGCATTTAAACATGTATAGTAAGACAAAAGAAACCTCACAAGAAAAGTTATTATTAATAAGATCATTCTTTAAAAAAAATAGACAAATCTACACGTGTAGATCATTACGAAAAAACAACGTACATGTATTTGCACAATACAATTGTTAAGACTTTTCTGTATTTCATTTTAAAAAGATCTGAAAAATAGTTTTTTAAAATTATAAACTCTGAATAGTATGTAGTTGATTTTTAAAAATCTCAATCAAACTTTAACAGAATGTACAAGACCCAAATACTGTGACGAGTACAAATGCACAACAGAAACAGATTTCATCTGTATTAAGTGCTATGGACAGGGCAAAACTCCTAAAGATTCAGTGTATTTTATTTCATCGGACCAAAAAAACTGTACAGGTTTGTAGAGAAATGTATATTTGATAATAATATGGAGATTGATAATTCAAATCAGCTTATATGAGTTGATTCGTGGGGATGTGGTTGTCAGCCCTCCCATCCCCCCCGTACCTCCACATTTGTTTGCTCAGAAATCCACTGTGATCATTTCTACCTATCCCCCTCTCCTTAAGAAAAGGAAACAAGCAATGAACTTTAAGGTTTTACCAAAAGTCAGCATGTCCAAAAATTTATTTTTACAATAGCTCCAAAACGATGTGGTTTATGAAGTTAAAATTTCTACGGTTTATAAAGATATCATTGATTAACAGATAGAAAATATCACTTGATAACAAATATTTTAAAAAAATATTTTTTGAGAAAAAATAATTCAAAAAATTTGTATATTTTTAAAAAAAAAATGCACCTGCTTAATTCTGTACTTTTAGTGAAAACCATCATTGCAGAAATAATTTATGTCTATCAATGAAGGGCAAGTTGGACGTGAATGGTCTCTGAAAGGCTGTTATTGAAAGCATGACATGTATAAAGACAAGAACCCTGTAAAATCCGCCATTTGCAATGTACTTTCGATTTCAAATCTTAACATTTGGACAAAATAAACAGGGAAAACAAATTTCCAGAGGCTATCGAAGTCCAACTTGCCCTTCATTGATAAACATATATTGTTTCTGCAATGATAGTTTTCACTAAAAGTACGGAATTAATTAGGTGTATTTATTAAAAATATATGCATTTTCTTGAAAGAATTTTTCTCGATAAATATTTTTTAAAGTATTTGTTATCAAGTGATACTTTCTATCTGTTAATCAATGATATATTTATAAACTGTAAAAGTTTTAACTTTATAAACCACATAGCAGGCGCGGATCCAGGATTTGAAGTTAGAGGGGCGCTAAAAGTAGGCAGTGGGTCAAGCTCCTGGATTCTAGAGATTTTGTAGGATAAAAATGAGGTCTACCAAGTAGAAATTTTTACATTTTCTCGACGAAACTATGATTTACACTATTTTTGACAATTTTAGGGGGGGGGGGCGTGCGCCGGGTGCGCCCCCCCCCCCCCCTTAAATCCGCCACTACATAGTTTTAAAGCTATTGTAAAAATAAATTTTTGGACATGTTGACATTTGGCAAAACCTTGAGAGTAGAGAGTTGCATTATCCAACGAAAAATAACCTTTATTTGTTTTTATCCACACTTGCTACAGAGTGCCGTTGTATTTAGATAATAGAAATTCAGATTAATGTTGTGTAATGAAGGAAAATGTTCTTGTCAAAAAGAACATACTTAGGAAATTTAAAAAAAAATAGGTGAGGAAAATTTATTGATCTTTTTCTGAAGGATCACATAACTAGAAATGATACTTTAACGCACATTTCTGAATTGAACTTAGTGAAAATTCAATCCCTCTCGGACAGACTGGGAATCAATGAGGTTCAAAGTATGACCTAGAAATACATATATGTAGGGGGAATTAAATCCTTTAGAGAACTTCAAGGCTGCAAAGAGTGCACTTCAAATGCAAACATCTCTTTTATAAACCATGAAACCAGAAAAGTAGCCACGCAGTGACCCAAATCGTCGCCTGAGAATTTATGTTGAAAGTACGAAGAGTTATATGCATATCATTGGAATCTGCCAAGATAAATCTCTTTCTTTCCAATAGTAAAAAAAACGAAGATGTTATCAACACGAACTGTTTGTTCAATACTCATGATCAGTGCAAATTGGTAAATATAAAAGTGTTTCACACCTTTGTTCAGCCTTAATGTTTTACCTGTGGTCACAATATATTAATCAGTTTGAGTTAGGGAGGAGTTGAAGTTTGTTAAGTTTGAAAGAAATTTAAATATATTTTTTATGTAATATATATATATATATATATATATATATATATATATATATATATATATATATATATATATATATATATATATATATATATATATATATATATATATTTCATTTCAGATCAAAGTCCACCTCAGTTTAGTAACTGTCCTTCAGAAATGGTGCAGAAGTATGATTCAGGAAAAGGTTCCTATGTGAATTGGGAACCAATACATGTTGATGAAAACATTGGCAACTTTTCCCTTTCAAGCAACATCCAAAATGGTGCCTTCTTTTCTTTTGGGGATCACTCGGTTGTTTATAATGCCATTGATGATTCTGGAAACGCAAATAGTTGTAATTTCACAATTCGAGTAATAGAGATACAAGGTAAGTTACTCGGCACAAATGTGGTGAATTTAATGATAGTATACACTATGATTTTTTCTGATATTAGCTGAGGTTTGGAAACTTGCAAGTTGGTTGGTGTTTTATAGGACTATGGGTGACCTGACTTCCCGGTTTACGCCATCTCTTTTCTTTTTCTTATCGATATTAAAGGGGCATTGACACACTTGCATTTACATTTTTCACAATTTGAATTGTTTTAAAAGATAACTTCAGTTTATTTAATTCTACATGTACTTACAAGAAAATTCTTAATGACAATGATGATCCTTTATTGGATGTGTTTGACTTGTTAACAATGAACACATCACACATCACTCTTACATTTCTTGATATTACTAGTAGTTTTATTATCTTTTATCAACACAACACAGCTTTCCCATTTTTATGGAATATTAAGAATAAACTTTAACAAAGAAAAGTCTAATGATGTATGACAATCAATCACGTAAATTAATGCGATATTTTTCAGCTGAAAAAAAAATCCTAAATACAATTTTATAATCTATCTTTCTGAAATGCTTTTGCAACATGTAAGTTATAAGATACTGTTGAAATTTTTTTAAGGATATAAACATCAAATCTTTCTCTTTGCCCCTTTCAGATTTATTTCCTTGTATTGTTTCAAGAAGGAGGGTTGAGCTCCCAAAATTTCTGTCAACTAGCTTGTGGAATTTTCGCTATATATGAGAGCTTTCCCTATTGAAAGAATTTGCTTTGTAGCTTATTATCTGTTGAGGATTATTTGCAATATGGGGAGTTCTGTGCTACAACACGTATCAGTTTACAAATGTATATGGACAATAAAACTTTTTTTTAAGAAGTGATAGGTTGGGAGTCAATGGCGTCGCTTTACAAATGACGAATTTTATTTTTAGTACTTTCACACCAGGTGATAAATACTAAAGATTAATATTTAAAATGGCTACTAAATCTGCTTTCTATACAGCAACAGTTTGTCATAGCGTCATAAACACAGAATGAATACGTCCACTTATCTATCAATTAAAAATCCTTAAGAAATTCTTAACATAACCTGAATGACTCTTTTCCTATTTCATGTAGTGATAAGTTAATCAATAGCACGATAAGCTCCTTTGTTTACATTACTCTGGCTAAAGTACCTGAATCTCATTAAAGCCATTTTTATACTCAAACTCGTGAGAATTTCCTTTATTTGCAATTTATAACTATAAAGTTCATGAAAGTATATTGAAGAACGAGTAGGCATTAAAAACACACGAGTGAAGATGTAGAAATGATAAATGCACATTTTTACAAGTAAACTGTTTTATACCTAATTTCAAATTAGATAGCCTTGAGTATCATTCAGAAACAAGAAAACAGAATGTGTTAAATGTTAGTAAAACGAATCGGAACCTTTACACTATAGTAAGGAAGCTGAGCAGCAAGTTAACGACATTAATCCGATTTATTTCTTTTAAGACAAGGCTTGTACCGCTCCACCTGTTCCATTTCATGGTTTTTTGGGGTGCCAAAACAAGGGAGCTCTACAGTGTTCAATACATTCCTGTGATAAAGGGTATCTTTTGAAAAATAACGATTCGCATACCTGTGAAAGTGGGGTTTGGAATCCGGAATTTCCTAAGGATTTCATAGCTACGTCATGTATTAGTGAGTAAAATACGTTTATACCTCTGTAGATAGAATGTGAGTACATTATTTTTTTTTAAAATTCTTACCTTTTCGTGTATTCATTTAGAACCGGAACCAACTTATCTAAGGAGAAATTACACATTCACTTTTAATTGCCCACATCTCATGATAAATGCAGCAGAATTAAGAGATTGTATTAATCAGTCCGGACTCTGTCCCGAAGGAGACATCTTACTTTGCGATAGGCCTTTCCAAAGAATAGAGGGGCAACAACTCTCATCCCAGAAATTGCAGATATGGATGATTATGGAAGGAAAACTTTCGTAAAAAACTTACATGCACATTTCATTAACTCATTAATTAACGACAATTTAATTTAAGAGTTTAAAGTTGATTATCCACTGAACTTTCGTACAAGACTTTACTTTGGTAAATATTTTTGTGTTGATTTATGCAATTACATTAGATCATACAGTTTTCATTTAACACAAAAAATCATTAAAGGTTTGATACCAACAAGCAACTATTGGTGCAAAACATGGATGATCACGGACAAAAGATAGCTGATCTTTTCCAAACAGGCCTGTTTCTTACTACCTGCACAAATTTAACCTGCGACTTTGGGGAAATATCAAGTGGACAAATATCTGAAGTTTGTGCTGAAGGCTCTACATTCTATCAAGTCAATGGATATTTAGTCTGTGGTAAGCTTAAACAGATATGAATTCCGGACATGATTAAATGCATGCAATTTCATTGGAAAACTTGATTTTTCATAATTTCTGTTCGTGTAATTTGGATTAGTTATAATTAAATTACACGACTTAGCAAAAATTGAGAATTTTATTATTATTTGTTTAAACATTTCATCAAACATATTGTTTTTAGTGCAAAGAATATATTAACCGCAGTCTGTAAAGATTGCTTAGTAACTTTTTGAATACTAGTAGATTCCTTTAAATGTTTGTATAACTCAAGGAAAGAACTGTATTGAAATAATGTCTATTTGTTGTTACAAAACAATCAAAGCTAAGTGCGGACCAGGTTGGTTTTATGCCAAGAATACCTGTATTCAGTGTCCTGAAGGGTTCTACCAGGACATAGCAGGTCAACAGGACTGTAAAAGATGTCCAGACGAAAGAACGTCCATGATCGGAGCATTTTCAATTTCTCAGTGTAAGAATTGTAAAACAAATCTAATATGCCATTATGGTCTGCATAAGAAAGAACAAAATTGCTTTAGTTATGTTCATTTTTAGGCTATGATAAATTAGTCGCAAGGGAACTATTATCTCCCTTTGACACTACAACAGTGGTCGGTGGAGCTATCGGCGGATTATTCCTATTAGTGCTTTTAATTGCCCTGATTGTTATAATTCAGTGCAGGAGATCATCTTTAGAATCTCTTACAAGTGGAAAAAATGATCACCATTATCCAAATCCAGTTTATGTGGATTCGGAGAAAAAAGTCATAATGTGATTCCTGATTTTATGGGTCAGGGAAAAAATCAGGTTAGTAAGACTCATTAACCAGTAATTTATCACTTATCTATCAGTTTATTCTATCCAGCTAATACCGAATTATTGTAAATAAAAAATCTAGTCACTAGAAGTGTGAAGAAGATATCTCTTAAACGTTTTTGTAGCAGTCTGTTAAATCAACTTCTAAGGAAAAAAATACAGTAAAGAACTTGACATGTTTGCATTTGTGCATTTAATCTTGTCATGAATGTGTACCTTTTGCAGCGTTCTAAAAACAACGGACCTGAACTTTGCTAAAAATGGATATACATACAACACATGACTTCTAGAAGTCAACGATTGAATAGAAGAATTTAATTACTCAAGGATGAATTTTTTGATTCATATGTGATTGAAAAACTTCAAATAGTATTCTTAAAAATCAAAGATTGTTAATTTTTTAAAGCCAAACAAAGATTATGCGTTTCCTTTATGATAATCGTATACACTGCTGAAATTATTAATGATTCGTGTATGTATGCATTTTTGTTCAACTAATATGGACTGTAACTTTGTCTACATCGAGACTTCTATTTCGAGGTTTTTTGGCGCAAAAATAAATTACTCGTAAGCATAAAACGTGAGATAGCTATATCTTGTGGAGAAGCGCAAAAATGTGTCCTAAAGATAAATAATTCTACTTCCCACTAAAGAAACGTCAGGCAAAATATGTGAATTACATTATTTGCCAAAAAAGTGACACATTTGAAAAGCATGTCTTTCTTTTTAAGAAAAAGGGCATGAAATCGTTTGTTTACCCACATGTTTGTGCTTCTAATAAATATATACCAAAATAAGGTATATTTTGTGATTTTTTTTTATCTGACCTGAATAATACCGATATTTCTGTTATAACACACCATATCGTCAAAATAATGCAAAATGACAGATAATAAAAGCTAATGGACTGGGAGATTAAAAAGAAAATATATCATAACAAGAGAGGAATTTGGAGAAATTCATAGGCATGTACATGTATATATGAAAAATCCGAATTTGAATGTATACCAAATTTTTCATTTTCTTTCCAAATTATAAACTTTTTTTTTTCTTTTTTCATTATTGATGTTGTATGTTTCAAAGTGCTTAACCAATTAAAAAAAAAATGTGCAACTGTTCATTCGTTTTTCATTCTTTTTTTTTTTTTTTTTTTTTTTTTTTTTTTTTTTTTTTTGCTCAATTTGAGAATCAATTTTGTGCTTTCTTTTATGAGGAGCCTACTTAAAAACTGCATCTTTTTGTAAAAAGTACGGATGTAAAATATACTTTATGATGCAGTTTTTGACTTTTTGATTTTTGTCCTCGACATACTATTTATAATTTTTGAAGCATTCTTATTAAATGCATAAACATGAGCAGTTTAAAAAAAATCACACATTTGTGGTGAATCATTGCTATACTTTTCACGATTTTCAACGATTGAATATCCTAAAACTAGCAAAAACTCATGAGGTTTTAGCACAACGTATAAATAACGATATTGTTTCTATCAAATGTTTTAGCTAAATGAAAAATTGCCCATCCCGATTGGGTTTGATATTTTTAGATAAATCTCGGTATAAAAAGACCAAACAATGTTTTATACTGAGTAGAATTGAAGGGGTATTAATATGCGTGTCATACTTGAATTAATGGTTTTGCATACAGAAAGGATAAAAACATCTCCGATCTTCTGGAATATAAAATAAAATCATGCAAATTTATTTATCGTTTGAGTAGGTGCTTTAAAATCAAGTGCAGGGCCTAATCAATATATAAAGTCCGTAAAAACGACACACCAAAAATTCAGCACGAATCTGGTAAAATCTGAAAGTTTACATAAACTATCATTTTTTTTAATTCATAAAATATTCAGTCCCTATCTTGTGCATAAAGGCCAAAACTGAGAGGAGGGATTCAAGAATTAATTTTGTTGCTTCGGTCATGTTTACCTCATGAATATAGTACAAATAGAGAGAAAGAAAGAGTCAGTGGAACAAAGACAGGCAGACAGAGATTCAAGTAATCTTATAGCTAAATGTATACGTTTTCAATTGTAAACCTCTTGAAATTTTTTTCTAAGAATTTTTCATAATTTACGCGTTTCTCATTTTTTTAAAGTACAGCCAAAAATTAAAAACTAAGAAAACAAGATATCAAAAACATCAATACAAATACATGTAACATGTTATATATGCCAGTGAAAGAAAAAGGTTTTAATACGAATGCATGTCTCGATTTGTAATTGTACATTCTATTAACAAAGAACAGTTTTAGAGAAATAACAACTCCACTGCTCTAAGGTTCATTTTAATGGGTGATAAATTAATTCGATCAATAGGATCCAGGGAGATGTATTTTAGTAAATATATAGCTGTCCGTATTGTATTCTACTACTCCGTTTGATTTAGAATGGATATGTCGGTCCATGTCCAAATGTCTACAACAACAAAAAAAACACATTTTAACATCATTTCTTTCATATCTGATAAAAACTTTGTGATAGCGCTTTCATTGACAGTATTTCTTTATTACTAAATAATTATTAACAAAGATAGCTTACAATATAATTGCTAAATTGTATGCACGATTGCGACACAAGTAAACCCGTGTGGGAATTTACAAATGATAAAATACACACCTCTGGAGGGTCTGCAGAAGTTGCCGGTAAAATAGCGTCATCATTGGTGGCTGTACCCTGAATAAATGTGTTTTTTAGTTGTTTTTTCTTCAAGATGTGTTATTTAAGCCATCAATTTAAAAATGTTAATATTTAATAGCGATTCTCTGTAACCACTTAAACTTCTTTGCCACGCATGGTCACCGATTTTGATGAAACTTTGACCATTATTACAACTCGACACCAGAAACATATATTAAATAAAATTCCGTTGCTATGTGTCTTGGTTGCCATGGTAACAGCCAGAAAAGTTGAAAAAATTGAGATTTTCAGCTACTTTGAATCTTTATTACGCCTTAATAAAGACTAAGAAAAACAAACAAACCATTCTCCCAAAAACATGACACCTTGTTGCCACTTATGCTATAAAGAAACTATTTAGAATTTATCTCTTAGTAAGTGGTAACCATGGGTACATTTGGAATACATTTTAGATGCTGAAAAATGCTGAAAAACGCTCAATATTCACCAATGATAGATGTTACATGATCAAACTCAATCAACAACCTAAGAAAAACAATAAAAAATATTTGACCTTATGTAATTAGGTATTGGCAATATTATTCTAAAAACAACTTTCATGGTTGCCATGGTAACACAGCGTAACCATGCAAAATCTGTTGCTATGATTAGGTTAATGCTACTATCTTGAGGAAAAACAATAAAATTCATGACTAACACATATGCATCCTTGGAACCTTGCAACACCGACAACATAAGAAAAATTGGGATTAAATGTTACTTTGCATTGTAACCATGGAAACAACGTTTCAGTCGTTTAAAGTGATATTTTTTGCTCCTTTAGGAATTTACTTACCTTTTAATCAAGAAACATATTATTTGACTCACCTTGAATACTACTTATCTGGTAGAACTAAAGTTGAATATCATATATTGATAAAGTTTGTTGAAAAATACAACACTGTTGCTATGGTTACCAAGAAGGGAAAATGTTCAATTTTGTTAATTTTATATCAATATTAAACCCTATGTGCCAGCTTTTTGCATCCAGTTAGAGATTGGGTGGTAGTCAAAATTCAAAGTCAGGTTAGTTGTTCATATATATCAATCATAAAAGTTTTGGGAATGTACTTACAAGGGTGCGTATCCAAGGAAACGGAGTATTTTTCAGATTTTTATGCATATTTTTTCGGCTAATTTCCATAGCAACACTCTATTTAAAGAATTGGGTTTGAATTTTTTGAAATGTGAAAATTAGGGTCACACCAATGCCTTTAAAAATTGATCATCAGTTATATAGAAATATGCTTTTTAAAAAGATAGGATAAGATTAAAACACTAAGAGAGTAAATCTAAAATCTTTCGAGGTAAATAAACCATAGCAACCGTTGCCACCCTTTAAGAAATATCATATTTCGTCCTTGGTATATGTTACAAAGATCTCTTGTCTATTGTTTGCTTGCATTTCAACCTATAATTGTTTTTATTCTTAAGTATATGACTTTATAAAATTAAATGAACAAAATTATTACTTTTGAATACTTTGTTTCCATAGTAACATATGTAATAGTTGATTTACCAAACATATTTATCATGCATTTAAGACATCAGGCCTTCAACTTTCAGAAACAATCATTGCCACTTGTTTGCTTTGCTGCAAACGTTAACTGGGGGACTCTGAACATGTTGAAAAATGCCATTTTTCAAACGTTAGGACATGTTGCTATGGTAACCATGACACGTAGCAACCAATTTTTGCCTGATTTGAGTTTACGGTATCAAAGACTTTTATCATAGAGAGTTTGGAGAAATTCTGAGACTATGCGTGCCACAGCTCCTATATAAAAGTTCAAGTCATTACAGAGAATGGCTTTTAATATGATTGAGTTGAGAAATTATTAAGTATTTAAAGCTACTGTTAATAAAAAAAAAAGGTAAATCGAATTGAAATAATTTAGTCTGTTTTATCATACCGATGATGGTTGCGTATACTCTGACACGGCGCTAAATCGACTGACGCAGTTAGAGTCGGTGAGATCTCCGGACGTCACTAGAACTCTTGCACGTGGGCAGACGTTGTCAGGACAACGGGCAATTTCTTCGACTCCATACTCCACTTCGTGCATCAACTTGAAAAAGATGACACTGTAAACAAATGAAAATAGGTTATAAAATGAAAAGAAGAGTATCACGCTTTGAATTTTTGTTTGATGAAACTTTTTTATACGTTTGACTAAACTTCAATATTTTTACACACAAATAATGCATATTGTCATGTATGCTATATTTGACAGATGTTTCATGTTTTCTATTCTACCACATGCTTACCCGTTAGCGCTGTCATAATAGTAAGTACCGACTGTGTCACTATCCAACACCTCCTGTCTAGAGGTTACTGAATGAACTGGGCGTTTGTTAAAATTCTCCATTCGGTACTCAAATCGAATTTCGGCATTTCGTGGGACGCAAAACGCAATAAGCACGTTGTTTTTCCTTTAAAGAAAACATGTATTGTTGAGATATTTGAATTAAACGTAGGATTCTAACTGCCTTCTTTATTAATACAATGTATTTACTTTCAGTTTTTATGGATGAATATGTAATCTTTAAAATTGTTGTTATAGTATGTCCAACATGGATTGTTCACTTCATTTTCTCCTGATACTAGTAGTAAATACATTTTCATTATCTTGAAGAAAAAAAACATTTAACATTAAAGTTTCAAAGCATTATTCCTCAGATTGACTAGGTTCAACTTGAAATAAACAAGTATACAATGTAACACTATTTTTCAAAGTCTACAGATGTAGACAATTTTTAATTCGATTATATTGCTGTCAAGCGCACAGGTGAGTCATTTCCAGATATCAATCAAATTTGTTCCATATATTTATCATTTCCTTATTAACAGCAAGCAACAGAAAATCTCATAAAATGATGGATCCCTCTCCGAAGTAGTGGCCTTTTTGGTACTATCCGTAGACTATGAATTTGCTGTCGTATCAATAAACATGTACTAGTTGAACTGTAAGGATTATATCAAAGCAGCAAGTTTCGTGGCTAATTGTTCAAATTTTGTTTGAAAGGAAAGGCATTTATGTATTTTGAGATAGGATGCAATAAGTGGTGATGGTAGGTACCGTGGGAAAAACTACAACTGGTTTTAATTGTTGTAGTAAATCTTACTTTGAAATCGCTCTAGCGTCAAAATTGACAGTGGACGGAAGGGATCCTGCTATCCTAACAAGGTAGCTGTGAGATCCCCCCAGGATTGGGAGGAAATGCTTCTCAAGATCCAGGCCTAAGTGTAGGGAAGGTAGGTTGCCATCTGTCCTGTATACATGCATATCGCTGTTGAAGCGATCTGTGTATGTCACTAATACCTAGAGGGAATTTTAGTTTGGGTTAGGTAAACTTTAAAAAAAATTAAAATCCTCCAACCTTTTTTTTTCTTTTTCTATAGATTAAAATGAATGCAAAATTATTGTTTTCTGATACAATATAGGCATTTATGTAATTTCTTATCAAATATACAATTGCTTTAAAACACTTTCATTTGCTTTCAATTTGTGTCTATAGCAAGTATTTAAATAAACCTTTTGCAAAAACACCTGAGTAACTTTACTTCTACACATACTATCATATTGTGCTAATATTAAGAGGCAGTCCACCGAAAAACCAGGCAGTATTGTATTAATAGGCGGCACATCGAATGTGAGGAATATTTGATATTTTATTAAAAACAATATCAATGTAGCCCAAAAGGAATAATGTAATTGAAGATTTGTTTGATAATTGCTTATTTAGTAAAATATCCTTGTGTTTTGTGTTTTTGAATGCCCCTATATAAACCATTGAATATAGGTCAGAAACAAAGAACTGTAATTTCTAATACATTTTTAACAGGACTATAATTCTCACTTAACTAAATCTAGAAATATTTCAACTTTTTGTTTAAAAAATAAAATCGGTGGGAAAAACACTTTTGATAGTAGTTTTCTGGCAAAATATAAGGACGTTTTTATGAAATTTTGCGATGTAAGAGTTATCTCCCGTGGCATCGGTAAATCTGCTCAACACCTTTTTATCGGAATCCTAGTGAAATATTTAGAATCGATACACTAAAGAAAATAATTAAACAAAAAACTAAATAATTTATTTTCAAAATATAATTCATTTTCGCCTCCAGACGTAATATTTAGATTAAAATTGGCTCTATTATTCAGGTTGAATCCACGTTTCCATTAATGTATCAGTGACGTCATATACCTAATATTGCGTCACAATGAAATAGTTAACAAGTTTCCAGAGAAGTTTGTGAATTCTTTGCGTAAAAGTGTAAAGAAAAAGATTTTAAATTTTTTTTTCTCTATTTCTGTTTAATTACTCTTCAGAGTGCATTATTCTAAATGTTAAATAATATTTTAATATCAAAATGTATTTTATACACGGGCGGCGTCTCAGCTAGATGACGTTTTGATAAGTAATTTTATATATGTCTGAGAACTAATTTTTTTTAACTGATTTACTAGGATATGCGTAAAAATAATTAATGAAATGTTTATCATGAACATTTCTTATAGAATTGGGAATCAATGATGAATGTTTTAGATTTACGCAACACTTAATTCAACGAAGTTGAGATGTTTACTTCATGATATTTGTAAAAACTTAAATATATTGATCTATGCAGTCAAATCAAAATAAACAATCCGAAGTACGATTAAAAATGAAAAACCCTGAAAAATAAATTATAAAAACATATTTATTGAGCTAAACTACTGCTGAACTCCCCACTATAATTTGGCTCTAAAACGGAAGATGGTTTAGTGAAACATTTCGTTTTTTTTTTATTTTACTTATTTGACTGCCGTCATGAGAAAAGGGCCCTTAAGGTCAAAATTTCACAAATTGACTTTTTGGTATTTTTTGATAGCCTGACTCTTTCTGATTGCAAAAATACATAACTTTTATAAATATCTCACTTTTTCTATATTTTATGAGCATTTTAGTAAGGCGCCTCAAAATAACGTTGACGTTACTCACTGAAAACGTAATGACGTCGCGTGCGTCAAATTCAGTTTCCAAACATTCTTAAAATTATTTAAATAACTTTAATCGTTTTGACACAAATAAACTTGAAAAAAATTGATTTCTTCTTCCAAGCTTCTAGTATGTAATTATTCCTAAGGAAAGTCGACTTTATTCATACTATTTTAGAGACAGATTTAGTGATATCGTAAAGGAGGGGGGTGGGGTGGTCAAGACAGGATCTAGGAATGGTTTATATTCATTTGAAAAAATAATATTTGTACAATTCCACTATTTCAGCACAAGATATTCTTTTTATATTTAATACTATAGCCAAATTTATACAATATATAAAACAATTTTAAATTAAAAACCTTAAAAGAAAAACTTCACAGGTGTCTAATAGAGAAAGGATAGATTCAACCCAAGGAAGGGCAACGCGCGTGACGCGGGACATCAGCACATCGATCCCGATATATAAAAAAATATTTTTGGTTTAATATAAGGAGGCATCCCCTCCCCTCCCCTTCGACACACACACTATATCAATGTGATGTTAACCGACTTTTAAAGTTAAATTTGAATAAAAAAGAAAAACCTCGGCCCTGTTTATTTGTACATAATCAGCAACTTTTTCTGCATTACTGCATGACTAGAAGCTAGGCTCGTCTAGTATGGACTAATTTCTATATTCAGCTAAACAATTTGTAGTCGACCTAAGCAGTGATTAGTCCGTTGCAATGTAGCAGCGATCATCGAATGACTTTAAACACCCGAAAATCTACCTTATACGTGACTGAATCATGCGTAGCACGGATTCAACCTATTCACCCGTAAACAAAATGAACAACTAATTGATCTTCTATACAGATAGACCTTCTCTGCATACGTAACAAACACACGTCTTTTCCCGTAACTTTTATAAATATATTTGTCAACTTCTTTAAAGTTTTTAAAGTAAATCATGCTTAATAAAAAAGCGGTTGTAAAATTTAATGCTTTGTTTTGTTTTGTTTTGTGTTTTTTTTTTTTTTTTGGGGGGGGGGGGGGGGGGGGGCTTTGCACCTATGCTTGCTTTCGACGCTACTACTGTATCGCTTGGACACATCAATCGTTCATCATTTCTTATAAGGGTCGCTTATGTAATGATTCAATGTCGATACGATTTGGAAATTCACTATCATATTGCCAGATAAGAATTACTCAGTATCACCTGCTGGACATGCAAAGATAGCTGGCAGACACGTGTCATATTTTAAGCTTATCATTTGAAACATTTTATTCACTTTATGGCCTCACATGAGGCATAAAAGTACAAAAAGAAATAAATCAACAATGAAAAGGTAACAAATGAACAAAGGATTAACATATATACAATATTAATTTAGAGGTATTGGAAGCAATTTCAAGAGTGAAATAAAGACATTACAATCTTACAAAATTTAGCCAAGCCAATTAAGGTAAATTTATCATCACTGTTGAACAGGTTAGCAAAACTATTGATATTTTTCACTTTGTAAACTTTTTCAGGTATCAATGCTCAATTCTAAAAAAAAATTTAATTCCTTGTAACATTGCGCTCGATCTGAAATAATAACCTCTCTGGATTTTTGGAATTGATAAAATCTCGTCAGATAATAATCACTCACAATGCATGTGTAAACGATTGTCTGGTTTCCAACTAAGATTTACGGAAAGTTCTGTAAAAAATAACATTGTATAGTTTGATCAAAGAGAGGGTTGTACTGCTCTTGACTCTTTTTATTATATGTACACTTAACGGAGTTGGATTTTTCTAGGCAAAATAAAATATAGTTGCTTTACAATTTTGACGAAATCTATTTGAAATTAAAGCTGAATATCTCTCAAGACTTAAATATATTTTTACGCAGTTAAGGTCATCTATTCATCTTAATCCGTGACATCGGCTAACCAGACATCAAAGTTTTTTTTTTTTTTTTTTTTTTTTAAAAAGCAGAAAGGTATGTGTATTTGTTTAATCATTCCCTTAAAGTCAGGTACAGTTATAAACTTCGGCCTCATGGTCCATGGAATAAAACCCGGGGTAAATCCCCGTACACCCTTGATTGAACCTGGATACCTAATAGTATCCCGGCATCAACGGAACTTTCAGAAAAATTCGAGATATCCGGGTTATCGAGATGAGACTTGACGTCCAAGATTTAAACGCGAAACGTGACTAATTCATTATATACATGATTTCAATAGTCAGTAAAAAAAAAAAAAAAATGCTTCCTTTCATATTTCACGGTCATCAAAATGTTACATGAGCCTCCGTTTTTTTTTTTTTTTTTGTTTTTTTTTTGTTTTTTTTTTTTTGTTTTTGTTTTTTTTTTTGTTTTTGTTTTTGTTTTTTTGTCGCTCGAAACATCACCATTGCTTTCTTTTCCATCTTTCTCAAAATGTAGATGTTTTGATTGTCTTTGTTGTCTTACAGTTGATGTTAATGTCGTTGATGATCAGAACATTTTTATTACATTATAATATGACATTCATAACCACTTGTTAGTAGTACTTTTTTCCTCTATCAGTGATTTATACTCAAAAGATGTCGCCATATCAACATTTACCAGAAGTTCGTAGTTTCGTAATCTATCGTTTAATCTGTTTTTTCTTCTTCTGTTTCATACATATTTTCACGCATAATGTCACGTTCGATATAATTATTATTTTCTTCAACGTTGAGTATAATGCTCATGGAAAAGCCCACATTAAATGTATTTTGATAAAATTCCTAAATCAAGAGCAATTTAACTTCAAGCCAGCTTTCATCGGAATAATTTAAGAAAATTGATAAAGTAATTGTTATCAGAGAGTACTTTTTTTTTTATACATTTATTTGATCATTTCATTATTTTTTTTTAATTATATTTTTAGCAAAATTTTCGTGGCACCGTTTTCTCCATTTTTTTCCTAAGCATATTCTTTTGTTGTTAATTTTGTATAGATTTTTTTATATAACATTTATACAATCCATCTCTTTTCATTTTTGTAGTTCATGAAGGTTCGAATCTCCCATGTTATAAGTATCTATATCCAAAACAAGATGTTCTCTTTTTTTAGTTTGAACTTTTACCGGTTGTCTTTTTATTCGTCGATTTATTTATTTTTTTTTATTTTTTTTGTTTGTCAATAATCCCCCCCCCCACACACACACATCGACGCTTCACCCTTCTCTGGTCTAATTGTGCATATCAATATGGTTAACTATATGGATTAAAATTTAAATAAAGACTTTTAAATGAAGGAATTTTTAAATTAAGAAGCACTAATTAAGTACGCGTATATGTGCATTGATCTCTCTTTCTCTCTCTCTCTCTGGACAAAAATATTTACGTGCATGTAGAATACCTTTTAATAATAAGTCTAATTCACATGAGTCAAATTTATGTATTTGAAAATTGCTCAGAAAACAAATAAACAGTATTTTGAGTCATGCATAGTATATAGACATCGCTATAAATCGCTGTATTGAACAATGTGTTCAATGTCGTGTTTAGATTAATTATGCGATATCAAGTAAAATGCTTAATAATAAACAGAATTATGAATAAATACATGTACTTAATAGTAATAATATCATTTATTACAAATTTCAGCATCAATTTTCATATATTTTTTTTTTCATTTCACCTTGAAATCCAATTTTATTTCTTGTTCACGAAACACTGTCGACAAAAATTACTTCTGTGTTCACAACACTGCGACTTTGACGTCGTTTTCTGAGCATTGTGACGTCAAAAGATAAGGGCCCTTTTCTCATGACGGCAGTCATTTATTTTTTTAATTTGGCGATTGAAACAATCACACACTCACATTTAATATGGAGTTTAAACATGTGACTATGTTGGCCAATTCTAAAATGTTTTCACGTTCATGAAACCAATTTTTAAAAATAATGATGTCATGACACCCCCCCCCCCCCCCTGCTTTTTGCTTGCGATTTATCGGCTCTTGAATAATGATACTATATATAAAAGAACTTATTTTCTTATTTATATAAAATCAAATTTTGTAAAAGAGGAAAAGGCTTTACAGACGACAGGTAAGGAAAAACTTGGATAAAGTCGAGACTGTACACATAAAAATATTTCCTGTATTTAGGCAAGTTTAAATTCGCCACTGATAGAATTTACTCTTTAATTCCTGAGGAAATAAAAAAAGAAATTTTACTTGGAAATAAGATAAATAATAAAGCTAGAAAGCTGTCTGCTCTCATTTGTTGCATAATGCATGTACAAATACTTTTTTTTTAAATACCGAGTATCTATTAAGAATTCAATCAGATGTTTTACATGTAATCTTCATGTACGTAAAAGACATTAATAATTTAAATAATATATAAATTTGAATCTATGGTTACACTCATTTAAAAACAGTTAACTGACTGAAAAGAAATAAAAGACAAGCATATTTTTCTGATAAATTAAAATGAAGAGCCAAATTTAGGAAATGTTTCTAAATTTACAGTAAAAACCGATCCCGATCCGATCGAAATAATGCAAAATTAACAAATTTATCAAACTAAAGGCACCTGCCATCTATATAACATGTTAAAAAAATAAAATCAATTAAGTTTTTACTCATATTATAACAAAAGAGCCAAATTTAACATTACAATTATAGTATTTTTATTCCGGTCGGGATCGGTTTCATTTGGGAAAATTATAAAAAAAAAAATAAATAAATAAAAAAAGGTAACTTTGACTCCTTTTATTTCTTTCAATATACCTGTTCCCACTGATTTTATTGAGTGATTCAAAAGTTTGTACTTTGTATTCATAATAACATAAGGAAAAAAATCTGTCCTTGTAATGTATTGGGTTTTATAACGTAATGAAAATGGGATACTGAATTCAAAAAGTTACTTGCTTAACTCAAATTTGGACCATATAATTTTTTCTAAAGAAGTATAAATTGGAGTCTTATTCATTAATAAAATAAAAGATAAGAGTCTATGCTATAAATAATATTCATCGACACATCCAGCTTTTGAGTATCTGTTACATATAAAACAAAATAAAAACGTAGTAATTTTTTTACCCTTATGTTGACCTTTTTGCACTTAAAATTAAGCATTTACCAAAAATAGGACTAGAGGAGCACTAAAATTTTTTTAATGTTGTCATGTGTAAACACTTGCTTTAATAAGTCTACATGCAAAAAATAATTAAAATCCATGACATTCGATGTGCCACCCATTGCCTGGTTTTTCGGTGGACTGCCTCTTAATCAGTACTACGTACTGTCTAATCAATAAACAACATAAAAAATGCAAGAGTACTCTTGGAAAGAAACCAATGAAAAAATACCTTTCCATACAAAAAGGGACAATATGCAGCATTCCATCCTGACCTAATTTTACATTCCTTTGTTAGCAGGAATGGTTTATTGGTAACTATTGTGACGTCACTAGCCGAGAGAGCTTTTTTGTTGTCCCTCAGTGAAAATACAGCGTCTGCGTCTGCAGATCTGGATGTGCAGTCCCTGAACAAGAATCTTTTCCCTGGTCCCTTGAAGAATTCAGAAAAAAAGTCTTGAACTCAATTGAATTTCTTGTAATCTTTGTACGGATCACTGTGGACCGTCATTACGATAGCAAACATATTTTCATTAACAAATAAAGAATGATCAATCGTATTTTGTGTCGGGGTTTATGTCACTGGCTACCTCAACAACCAATTAAATCGGGTCTTGTTTTGAATTAAGTAACAAGGCAAGACTTAAAAATGAACATGAAGCTAACATTATTTCCCAAAGATCAAAACTTATTTTGTATTTTTTTTTTAAGAGTTTCAGAAAACAATTTTATGATTAATACAAATCCTCATCTAATCAAAAATCAAGACGATAGTTTGGGATCTTTATCAATTAATAAAAGTATACGACTTTCTAAAATTCAAGAGAACAATAGTAGTGTAAACCAACGTATTATCACCATCGAGGCTTGTCTTCCGGATCGTTTAATGTGAAATAAATTGATTTTCTAATCTACATGTACTTTAAATACACTTAAAAAGTTGTTTCAATAAATATTATGACACTTTTAAGCAAGAAATACCATGTTTAAAAAAAAAAGAACCACACTGATATACATAAACTCTACAAGGGATGGAAGCTGCCATCCTTGAAAAAATACCCGTGACCCACCGCACCTGTTTCTGTACTCTAAACATTAAAATTATTTCATTGTCGTAGTAGGACTCGCTACAGCGATAATTTTCCTATTTGTTGGTGTGGTTGTCGGTCATCTTACGCGTTCAATATTTATTGAAACAACCTTTTTAAGTGTATTTAAAGTAGACCAAAAATTTTATTAATTTATTTTACATTTTACAATCCGGAAGACAAGCCCCGATGATGATCATCGGAAAAGTTAACCCAATACACACTGATACTAGACAAACTGGTTATAACCCAATACAGACTAATACTAGACAAAATGGTTATAACCCAATACAGACTAATACTAGACAAAATGGTTATAACCCAATACAGACTAATACTAGACAAAGTGGTTATAACCCAATACAGACTAATACTAGACAAAGTGGTTATAACCCAATACAGACTAATACTAGACAAAATAGTTATATCCCAATACAGACTAATACTAGACAAACTGGTTATAACCCAATACAGACTAAAACTAGACAAAATGGTTATAACCCAATACAGACTAATACTAGACAAAATGGTTATAACCCAATACAGACTAATACTAGACAAAGTGGTTATAACCCAATACAGACTAATACTAGACAAAGTGGTTATAACCCAATACAGACTAATACTAGACAAAATAGTTATAACCCAATACAGACTAATACTAGACAAACTGGTTATAACCCAATACAGACTAAAACTAGACAAAATGGTTATAACCCAATACAGACTAATACTAGACACTTGTCAAATTGGTTATTTTTAAATCAACTTAGCCTTTTAAAAAGTATCTAAGACATGATATCTTTATAAAGACATCCTATGTTACTATCACAAAAGGCAGGTAAAAGGGATTGCAATCATAGTATCGAATTAGTTTTTCAGAAAAATCTTTAAAGGACTTTTATTTCCAAAATAAGCAATATTCTTCTGAAATTTCAATAAAAAAAAAAAGTATTGTATGTACCCCTAAATCCTTATTTAAGACTTACATCATTAAAGTCGAACATAACGTTATCCAAAGAGTTCCTGGGGTCATTGTGAGTCATACATTCCTGATTACCAACAGCTGCCGCTGTCCTCACCGCAGAGGATTCAAAACCGCCAAACCAAGTGTTCCTAACTGTTATAGGTCCTTTAGAAAACCGGAAACCAGTTATATCTCTGTCTCTACGAAATATAAAGAAAAGTGTCTCTCCATCAGTCTCAAATCAACAACAAACTATGAAATTTGCATAATTAATCAATAATAGCATCACTAATAATTAACAGTACATGGTAAACGGAAAGCATTACAAAACCTGAAAGAGAGGTTTTCCCCGACATTATCCGAGAGTCCAATTATGACGCTGTCTTCAAACACTTGCCACACTGAGTCCTCTCTACAAAGATACATGTATATATTAAGAATTATATTCGATTAATATATCAAATGCTGCATTTATAATTATACCAAAACTTCATCTTAACATCAACCTGAATACTACAAATTGCTAGTGTTAAAAAGGTTTCCACTTTATTCATCACTTCCTCCCCTTTCAGACATTTCTGTTTTCTAAATAATAATAATACAGACATTGTGTACGATGCTACTTAAGTAGCCTTGTCTATAAATAATCCTATGTAATTAACCTTCCTCCTAATACGCTGCATTAATGCGCTAAATCCCATGATGTGACACTAACTACTGAAGCATCCTGCAGAGTATATCATACTGAACCAGGGATGGGGTAACGTAATCTAAATCGATTACATTTGCTGTATAATCATGTTTAATCAGTAATCCTCATTTTTATTTGAGTAATTGCAATTTAATCATTTTCATTGAAAAAGTTGTGTAATCATGACCTTTTCTCGATTATTTTTATGATTACAGTGATAATGGAAAAGATGAAGATAACGGAATGTGATCAAACTCAAAAACATCTATGAAATATGGAGAAAACGAACAGTAATCAAGCTCAAAAGACAATTGAAACAATACAAATCGGTTGCAGAGCAAACATGGACCTTTAAAAGCATCAGAGGTGGGATCAGGTGCCATGAAGGGGTAAGCATCCCCTTCGAACGGTCACATCCGTCGTGTGCTTTTTGTCATGATCGGGCAAAAAGAAAAATCTTTAGACAATTCAGTGTGTAAATAATGGCCTAACATTTAGTATGAAAAACATCAGTCAGCATTCGACGATATGAACAATACAAATCTGTGAACAGGGCACAAAACAAGAAACCCCGGTAATTAAAGAGGTGGAATCAGGTGCCTAGGAGGAGTAAGCATCCCCTGTCAACCTAAAAACAGGTCAGTTAATAAAGGAGCACAATTGGTGCCCGGCAATCGGAATTCCAACAGTTTATTGGAAGATCTGGTCTTTGAATACTACAAAAATGTTGTCAATGAGGAACATCCTTTTAAAATCAACATCAGAGTACTTGTGTGAAGAATCAGAATAAAGTGCTTTTTAACAAAGTAATTTTGTTGATGACCAATTCCAAGATATGAAAATTTCCAAGTTTCTTTTTTTTTTAAGAAACTGTTGTCTTTTATTACAAAAAGCCTAGTTTTTAATTTATCCTAAGGAATGTTATATAAGTATATAAAAAAGTCGTACGTTTTGGTGTTATTGGCGTTTGAAAAAAAATTGTGATTTCAAATTTTCTAGAACTTCTTTTGAGTTTTTGAGAATTCACATCTGATGTACACTACTTCTAGAATATGCTGTAGCACAGTACTTCTTAAGTTTCTCGAAGATAGGGGCTTGATAGAGCATTTACTGGACCCAGCAATTTATCTTTCTTTGTAAGGATTTTTATGTTTTGAAGTTTACACAGAAATACATGTACATAAAATCAATTTACTTTATGATATTCAGTGAAAGATTTCCAGTCTGAAAATCTGCTGACAGCGATATCTTCTTTTATATTTAAAAACATATCCATTGACTATGAAGTGAGTAAATCCTCCGATACTTGCTATATTCAATAGTCAGTGTTTGTTTTTGTTTGTTTGTTTGGGATTTTTTTTTTTTTTTTTTTTTTTTTTTTTTTTTTTTTTGTTTTGTTGTTGTTTTGTTTGTTTGCATTTTCAGCATCAATTCACCTAGTGTTCTTAAATCTATACTTGTATACTTAGGTAAATAATCAAAGGTGTCTGGTTCAACATGTACAGGTATACTCTGCAACATATTGTTTTTCCTGAACATCCACCATCATTGGGTTTTTTAAAAGCCAATCACAAATATTTTTCGAAAACTTTCAAATTTGTAACACATATTTCTCAGACCTTGCTAATAGTTCTTAAAAGAGAACATCTAGTCCTTTCATTATAAAACATTTAGATATCCTTTATATGCGTATGAGGAAACGTATTCGACTTCATGGATCTTTTGAAAATTAAATGAAAACTAGAGGTATTGTGAGCAGTGAGCAAACAAAATGATATCTAAAATACAAAATGATATCAAAAGTCTATGCTTTGCTATGGAAAACCCTAGGTATGTGTCCGATCAAAAGATTAAGTTAAAGGTGCACAATGATGCAATGTAATTAAGATTCTGGGAAAGTCTTATTATTTTTTTTTTAGTGGTATAGAAGGAGTTGCGGATGAGAGATGGACATCCCAAGTATTATAGTAAGAATGGCAGCATTCATATCTTGCTAAGGGAAACCCAAAATATTTGTCTGATCAAAATGTAAAATAGGAGATGCACAATGGCATTATGTAATGAAGATTCTATAAAAGTCTAATTAAATTTTATTTCTTAGTATAAGAGAGTTGCGGATAAGAGATGGGACTCCAAAACGTAACAGACGGAAGGACATCCTTTCACTATAAACATCAGCTTTTCGAGCGGGGGTATAAAAAAACACAAAAGATTACGACAAAACAGACTTTCAAATAAGAATAGCTTATTTCACTCATCCACAGAGTGTCATGTGTACTACACACAGATAGCATACTACTTACCTCAAAAGGAAAGCTCCAAATCGGCTGTCTGATAGGCTGAAAAGATAGTGCGGTAATGATAATAATTTTTTTTTCTATTTTAATAATCTACAGTCAAAATTACAATTAAAATACTATGGTTGGATTTACTTACGACGCTCTTCTGACAATGACAGGCGACGAACGAATCCATAAATTCTGAACGGTGCATTTACTGGCTGAAAAAAATAATGCATTGTAAGGACGCCTTCATTTCATCTGCAAAGCTTAAAAGAATTGAATATATTCATTTTCTCCATAAAAATAAATGCATTTTCTTTTTGCAAATAAAATCTTATATTATAAAGAAATCCTTTACCTGTAAACCCGTCAAATAGGGCAGGAGCAGGAGGGGAACTTGGATCCAGGGGATCAAGCTTTGGATTATAATGGTTGTATCCTCCAAATGTCAAGTCATCTTCTAGCTCATTATCAACGAACAAACACTAGGGATTAAATGAAATTTATGAACTTTCTTAGTAATTAATTAATTTATTTATAGTAACAAAACATTTAAATAATTAATATTGTCTTTTTACCTGCAAACCTCAATAAAATAATATAATTAATGTCTAACTCTATATATATTGATTTTGTACCGTTTCATGGGAGTGGCAAGAGTTGTCCAAGAACTTGGTTATTCTTGTGTTTTTTGCTTCTCCTGGTTGCATAAAGTTTTTATTGGCAGAGGGACCAGTAGGTATATGTGGAAAGATGTACCAATACCCAATACCCTGAAAACGATAAAATATTTTTTAAATGATTTAGATGATACTGCTCGCACACAAAAGTACTTGTATCGAATAATACAGTATTAAAGACCCCGGAACTGACGTACTTCACCACCCGCAGCTACATTGTTCACCAAAGTTGTCAATGGATTAGTGATCCAAAATGTTGCTGGACCCTTCGTTCTGAAACAGAAAGGTTCTGAGTACAATGTTTAACACTCTAAATGAAACGGAAAATATGCTGGAGTTGCCAACCGCTCATGTTATTTAAAGAAATTTCAAGTGAATCTGCTTTGTTGCAACAACACGAAAGAATCTTAGTACAAAGAAAAACACTCTAAATGAAACAGAAAACATGATAGGGACTGTCAACCGCTCATGTTATTTCAAGACATTTCATGTGAATCTGCTTTGTTGCAGCCACAAGATTTTTTTTCATTTCGCTTACAAATTTTATAAATCAGTTAAATACTTGTCGGCTGGAATTGCTCCTGTAACTCCGAGGACAGTATCCCCCTTAAATCGCCTCTGTCCCAGTCCAAGATTTCTGTAAAATGTAATGTTCCTCTCCCCACCGTCTTCAAGGAAGAAACCATGGCCAACACTGTTATAGCATACATTGTCCGTGATCTACAGCAAACGTTCAAACATTGTCTTTTTTATATTGTTATTCATGTACATTACAGCATGCGACACATTATTGTATAGTTATATCCAAAGGCATCCAAAATGCCAGTCTTTGGATTTTTTAGATTTGATAAAATTTACTAATATATTTTTGTTTTCAATCTTTGCAAATCTTACATATGCCGACTGTGTTCCGTGAATCGTCATACATCGGAACTGAGTATGGTGTATAGAGTTTCTTCTTAAATACGATTCTTGGGGATACAATGTTCGATCAGCGAGGTCATAACACATATGATAATGAAGTGGATATCGACCTAGATAGTGAAAAGGGAGTACATTTCAACGTAGTTATTCGTGCATATTTTTGTTAAATTGATGACTAAATTCAGTTGTACTGATGCTTGTTCAATGACTATTTTTTTTTATTCTCACCTAAAATCAACGGGTCGCCCAGATTAGTGAGTTCTGTTCCCTCGACAGCAACGCGTTTAAATCCTTTCAGAAACTAAAAGGAAACGTTTCAAGTTAAAAAAAAAAAAAAGAGGGTTTATATATATATATATATATATAAAGAGGAAATTTTTCATGATCAACGTTGAATTTTTTGCGATTGAAAAAATGTGTCGATTGAAATGCTTTCCTTTACAATAAATGAAATGCTTATCAAAATAACTTCTTTCTTTAATTATAATATGTATGAATAGAAATTGAAGCTGATAAAAAAAAATACCTTACCTTGACATGCCCACCGTTAGTGTTTCCTTCGGAAACCTCCGACGTTATATGAATATACCGAGTCATCAATCCTACTTCCGCTCTCATGTCCACTCTCTTGTATATTTCTCCATAATGTTCATATTTCAGAGAGTCTATAGATGAAAAAAAAATCACTCCCGGATCTCCGAGTATAGCAATGTTAGAACTTATGCTTGTAATGAATACTCAACACTATCAACTAACTGAAATGCCATTTACAATAATAAGGTTTTTAAATACTATTTGCATTTTATTTTGCATCTTAAAATGTGATTCAATATTCTGCATTTTCTACTTACAATCTTAAAAAAATAAATTTTCAATATTTCAATGCTTTACACTATTCACATTATGTCTTACATTCTCCTTAATGTCCGCATTTAAAATTGAATACCTCCACTGTAGGAAATGCTATCTACGATATTTTATTAGTAAAAGATATTCTACAATTACGATTATTATACGACTAATACAATTATTAGTTACAATACTGAATATCTTTAGCTGTTCAAAGAAAGTATTAAATGGTGCATTCTATTAGCCGTCTGCCCTACTGTCAGGGCCTTTGATCTGAGTACTTTTGAAGGGCCATTAATAGTTGAATATGTATGCCAGTTTTGAAGAGTTTACCGGGGTACTTACAATCGATCAAAACTTTTAGCAACATATTGAAGTACTAGCAAACAGAAGGGCAGACAGGATGAAAGCATTATACTCTGATCTTCAATGATTAGGGGCATAAAGATAATAGCTGATTCATTGACTGTTTATTGTTTAATGTCCCTCTCGAGAATTTTTCACTCATATGGAAACGCCACCACTTGCTGATGGAGGGCTACAAATTTTGACCCATACTCGGCACTTAGGGCCATTGAGCAGTGAGGGATCTTTTTCGTGCCAGCACCTACTGCGACACGGGACCTCGGTTTATTCGGTCTCATCCGAAGGGCCGGTCTCCACGTCCCGCAGTGGGATTCGAACACGCGGCGTAAGGATCAACTCCTTACTCCGCGACTCTAGAGCAGACGCTCTAATAGTTGATCGAAGTAAGAAAGATACTCACGGTCCAGCCTGATGAACTTTGGAGGACACTGAGAACACTCTATAATGGTAAATTCTTCTACATGGTACCACCTATAGTCAGTGGATGTGATGAATACTTTATCTCCTACAATGATATTTTGTTTAAATATTTAAATTTAGAAAATATTTTACAATAAAGTTTCAAAAGGCTTTTATGAGTTTGATAACACGACATGGTAAGAAATTTTATAACAAAGGCCCTCTTTAATTGTAACTATGTTTTCAGTTTGGAACATACCCACGTTCCATTCATTCATTACGTCATCGTATACAGATATCACAGGTCGTGTTAGATACGTGTTAATGACGTGGAATTCCGTGTAACTGCGCCATTCCTCAACACCATGATTGTACGAAGTAACTGTAATTTCTCTTTCTATATTAGGTACAATATAAGTAATGGAAGCTTCGTTATAGTCGGCGCCACCAGAGGCATCACCTCCTAACACTTCCTGAACTGTTGAAGTGTGACCTAGAGGGATAAAATCTTTAAGGTGAAATAAAGGAAGAAATAGTTAAAGAACGTAACATATAATTCTTATGATTGTTTCAAATCGAGAACCTGTTTAGATTTGCTCAAGTTTTACATGTACCTTTAAGGCCGATTGCCACATAAGCGTCATTAGTTGTTGCCAATTTGAATGCAGTGGCCCCTAGTGCGTCCATGACGCTATAAATGGCACTTGCGTCCTTGGATCCCAAAAAGTTCTTTTGTGTTGCAATTGCAAATATGTCACCATCCGGGATACCTGAATAAGAAATATATAAAAATGTATCTCTTATTGGAAAACAAATTTGTAAACATTTGTAAGCATCTTTATCTTTGATCTCGCGTAATCTTTTTTATTCGTTACTCACCATTCAAAAAATTGGTAAGGTTTGCTATTGCTGAGTTTACTTTGTCTTGGTTCCAGTAATCGAGTCTTTGGTGAATGCTTCCGCTCACCAACACTGCTTTGTCGTTTACCAAGTCATAATCCTCTGGTACTGACACCGAGAAATGATAAACGAACACTCCCGGTGACCTACTTGGTGAGTTATCCTGGATTAACGAGATCAAGAAGGCTACTGGGAAGTACTTTTTTAATTTAGAAACTCAATTGTATTGAAACATATACTATTTATTTTTAAAATGTAAATTATTAATTTGTTTGGCTGTGTGTCAATGTAATCTAGGCGATTGTTAAAGGGATAAACAATGCATTTATAAAATAAAATTATTCACTTCAGTACACTTGTAAGTCCCCTACCGATAAAACTGGTCTTTAAGCAAAAAACATCTTTTAAAGAAATTAGTTAGGGGCACCTGCCGTGCCCATTCTCCCTTTAAACCACAATCACTTTTATCTTGAATTTAGTGAACAAAGAACTAAATTCAGATTTACATTCAATTCTATAAAATTTTAAACTACAAATACATACTCAGAAGTATGAGGTGAACATAACCTACACTAAAACATAAAATATTTAGATTTATATAGTATTTTTATCTTAATTTACTCTGTGCTTGTAAATATCGCCGAGTGTCTTGTCATATTTGGGTGCCGTCTTTGTCAGTTTGGTCCATGACCTTTTGTCCTTGCCGTGGAGCTCTAGCGTCCCACCTTCTTCAACCCCGATAAATTTATCACCAAATGAGGGAACATTTGTTCCTTCCGGCTCGTCTGAAAATATAATGTCATCACGCATAACAGTTCTTTAAATATGAAATTAACCTCAAACCTCGGCGACATTCAATTTGAATGGTTTTAAATGCATGAATATATTAGACATAGACTGGAACCATTAAAATTAATACAAAGATAAGTTCAAAGATAAATTTTAAAAACCATAAACAGGATTTTGATTTCTTATTCAGAATCATGAACTTTGATAAATGGTTCAGCAACTGTTACTAATATTTAAAATAAACAGTTTAATGTCTGTTTTTGATCGCTCAGCTCCAGTGATTAATTCAAGTTAGATCACGTAATTTAACTACCAAACTACTATAGACCGATTTCAGGTATTCCATCCTAATTGACTCAGATTCTTTGCAACTGAATACAAAACAGATGGGTTGAATACTCAGTAAATTAAGAAAAATCCCAATTATTAATATCAGCATTAGGTTTATTAATTACTGTAACTGCTTAGGTAATTTGACGTCTTTGAAAATTTCTCTTGGTAAATCTTTTTTTTTTCTCTTCTAAATGCTTTAAATTAATATTAAAGTATTATATAGGTGATATATATTAAAATATTAAAGATAAAGAACTCGGTCAAAGAATTTCTTAATGAAAAATTAAAATCCTGTTTTTAAATTATTCATAATCTCTGAGAAAAACTTATAATTGATTTGTTTATCAAATTAAACTTTTGCATCCTTTAATATTTTTTCCTGAATGGCCCTTTTAAGAACTTTTTCTTAAATTAAACTTCATGATTACAAAATATTGCAAAACATTGCTTTCATTCCGTCAGATGAGGGACCAAATCTTGTACTTGTTGTTCTAATTTGTTTTTGTTTTTTTTCTTTTCTTTTATTGAAAAAATGTCCTCTGTGTATAATTTAGACGTATCGAAATAAGGCAATATTTAATATCAAAAAGCATATAAATAATATTCTCAGCAACTTGTTTAGATGGCAGATGGCTAAATACTATAGGTATTTACAAGAAGTTGTTTCCAACAAATGTAATAAAAACCGATGTCAGTTTTTAATAATTTAAAAAGAATTCTAAAATGGGTATTAATTACCTAACAGAGTAATTCTGGCTTTCCTGTCAAACTGACAGTCTTCACTTCCTATGTGCATTTCCGCTCCATTTTTGATCAGGATGTGTCCAAGTCGTACACTGTGGTCGCCATTTCTGCTCCACACGAGTTTCCCGCCATTCTGTATCTCAATAAAAGACAGTTGAGGGGGACTTGTGTCCACTAAGACCGGAAAGTTGATGATTACTTCGTCATTCTCTTGGGGCACCTGTTCAGAAAAGGAACCAGAAAGAAGAAAATACAAAAGGTTTCGATGTATGACTATACAATATGACTGTACAAATTTTATTTCAGTAGTTATATTCATAAATAGTGTTATGAAATGCAAACCTATCAAAAAAGATTAAGTAATTCCCTGTATTTTACCAGTATTAATAAAAAATGAAAAATGTTCAAATATTAAGTAACGCCATTGATACTTTACTCACTTGTCCACTGGGCCAAGAATTTGCATTTGACCATGGCTTAAGTGTAGGGTCCTGGTCTGGACAGGCTGATAGAACTGTAGAAATATACAATAAACAGGAGAGAAACGAGAACCTCGCGACCGCCATCACTGGGCAAGTGAAAGGAGAATCTGAACTCTCCTAGAATCTGTACCATTTATATCAAGTTTAATAGTTTACGATGCATTTCATAATCATAAAAACATTTTAAATTGCCAGAGTGTTAAATGGTTAGATTCTACGTTTAATTTTGATGCTTTTGCTCTTAATCTTATTTTCAAGGGAAATTTCTGTAAATAAGTTTCAAAGACGCAATTTAATTGTGTCATAACAAACAAAAAGTCATGGGAAATATAACTTGGGAAGTGTTTTATGTATAAATCAATACTTTATGCCATTTTAAGGATGTCTATTTTCAATATTGTTATTGATAGTTAATCTCCGAATTCTGTTTTTAAAAGGCTATTAAAATTTGACATTTAGGATAAAAAGCCAAGATATTTTAAACCCCCAAGAAATTCATTTGCACTCATTTGATTTTTGCAAAAGTGAAACAGCAAATTTTTGGTTGACAAAATTTGTTTGAATGAGGAGATATCTGCACTTTTCATTTTGAATAGGCCACCTTGAAACGTGAAAGCTTAATATTTTCTTCTTTTAATTATTTTCAAACAATTCAAATTTCCTGTCCCCTTTTCTTGATCTATGCAGCACTTTAAGTCAGCATTTTTATGATCGATTCTTATATTGTTATTCTTTTTATTGGCATTTCCAAAATAGTTATAATGAGCTGCTTTTGATAAACATTGATGTTTTCTCTTTTCTTCTCCCATTTTTCGAGAAGGGGTCAATTTGTAGGCTTTCGCAGAGGAGCTAAGTAATGGTGTAATCGATGTGTTATACCGGTGAAAATCACACAAGTCCATAGGTCACACCTTCTTCTTCCACAAACTCCTCTTTTATTTTAAGCAGTAACCAACTCATCTTTTGATATGATAGGTGATATGCAATAAAGTTTCAGAGTTTTCATTTTCATCCAGGGGGCCAAAAACGACGTTTTCACAACAAAAACCCGGTTCACAGAACTCGTCTTGCATTATACACAGTAGCCAAATCTTCTCTTCTAAGATAATACGTGGTTTCCTGTAGTTCGGCAATAAGGGTTTGGATTTTTTCTGTTTGCTCGATCATGGCGGGTGTGACCGGTCGACAGGGGATGCTTACTCCTCCATGGCACCTGATCCAACTTCTGGTGTTTTCAGAGGACTGTGTTTGCTCTGGTACCGATTTGCATTGTTTCATTGCTTCTTTAGCTTGATTACTATTCGTTATCTCCATATTTCATTGACCAAGTGGTCCACAAATCTAGTTAAAAAAACCCTTGCTGATTACAACTTTGTACTCCGTTTGCCTGGTAGTTGCCCAGAAGCAGAGAAGAACATTTTCAATAAATTAAATCAATGCAATTTCACCATATAATCAATAGAGCCCTGCCTAAACACCATAAACCCTGATAAAGGGGTCAGGAATTTCAAAATTATGAAAGAGGCAGCCTTGCTTATTATAACCACGCACTTGCTTTTTTCTGCTAAGTATACAGGGAGGAGAGAAGATTTTCAAAGATTTTATACATTTTCATTTTATGATCAATAGAGCCACACCCTTACATCAGAACCCCTGTCCCACGGGTCATGTTTCACAACTTTGGAAAAGGCACCCTAGTTTATTATAACCATGAACTTAGTTTATCTGCCAAAAATTCAGGAGTAGAGAAGATTTTCAAAGAATTAATGCATTTTCTCCATATACACAAAGGAGTCCCACCCTAACACCAAAACCCCTGACCCAGGGGCTATGAATTTCACATTTTTGGAGGAGTATCCTCGCTCATCATAACCATGAAATCAATTTGTCCGCTAACTACCCAGGGCCAGAGAAGAAGATTTGTTAAAGAATTTAATATGCATTTCACTTTATGACCAACAGAGCCTCGTCCTAACACCAAAACCCCGACCCAGGGGCAACGAAATTCACAATTTTGGAAGAGGTATCCTTGCTTATCATAACCATTTCATGAGTTTGTCTGCTAACTACCCAGGGCCAGAGAGGAAGATTTTTTTTTAAAGAATTTATGCATTTCACTGTATGATCAATCCCGCCCTAACACTTAAACACCTGACCCAAGGGCCATGAAATTCATAATTTTGGTAGAGGCATCCATGCTCAGCATAACCGTGCAATTAGTTTGTCTGTTAAATACTCAGAGATCAAGAAGAATTTTTTAAAGGAATTCTTTTTCGTGCCAGCACCTACTGCGACACGGGACCTCGGTTTAAACGGTCTCATCCGAAGGACCGGTCTCCACGTACCGCAGTGGGATTCGAAGCCGCGACGAAAGGATCAACTCCTTACTCCGCGACTCTAGAGCAGACGCCCTAGCCACTGCGCCACGCGGGCGACTCGATGATTATCCGTCGTCGTGCGTCGTCCGTCGTGCGTTAACATTTGAACATTTTCAGCTTCTTCTCTGCAACCGCTGAACCAATTTTGGCATAGAACATAGGTATTTAGCAGATAAATCAAATACTAGTATATAGTTAGGATGAGCAAAGGGGTCTCTTCCAAAATTGTGAATATCTTGGTCCCTGGGTTATGGGTTCTTGTGTTAAGGTGGGGCTCTATTGATTACATGGTGAAATTGCATTAATTCTTTGAAAATCTTCTTCTCTGCTCCTGGGTATTTAGCAGATAAACTAAGTGCAAGGTTATGATGATTAAGGATGTCTCTTTCAAAATTGTGAAATTTGTGGCACCAGGGTAAGGGGTTCATGTCGGGGAGGGGGGGGGGGGGCTATTAGATATATAGTGGAATTTTTTTTTTTTTTGGGGGGGGGGGTCTTCTTCTCTGCCCCTGGGTATTTAACAGAAAAACTAATTGCATGATCATGACGAGCAAGGGAATCTTTTCAAAAAGTTTGAAATTCATTACCCCGGGACTTTTGAATATATGATACAAATGCATTATTTCTTTGAAAATCTTCTTCTCTGTCCATTTGTTATTAAGGAAACATACCAAGTGCAAGGTTATGATGAGCAAGAGTGGCTCTTCCAAAAATTGAGAATATCTTGGCCGCTGGGTCAGGGGCTTTGGTATTAGGGTGGGGCTATATTGTTTATAGTGAAAAAATGGATTATTTCCTTGAAAATCTTCTTCTCTGCTCCTGGACATCTAGAAGGCAAATAGAGTATATAAAGTTGTAATAAGCAAGGGTGTTTTACCAGATTTTGAAATTCTGTACCCTCTGTCCAATTTATGCCTACTGAAAGAAGTTATTCCCCTTTGCTATTCACCTATAATAGTTAATCGCTGTAAATAATGTAACTGAAAAGGTCAATTGAATAACAAAATTATACCAGAAATTTTATAATATTTAATACAAAAGTACTTTCATAGTTTTTTAATGGTCAGATAAACTTTTTAAAAATAATAGAAACATAAGCAATTTCTATGGTCATTACAATGACCTTGTTTGCAAATGCAATCTACTGTTGTGGCGTATTTTGACTGACGTGTTTCATACCAATTGTTCCTTTATTTATTTATTTATTTATTTATTTATTTATTTATTTATTTATTTATTTATTTATTTATTTATTTATTTCATGTGGATTGTTGCTATTTTTCATTCCAACATTTTATTTTTCATTTTGGGAAGTTGTTTATTTATTATTTTAAGATTTTATTAACACATTTTAACATGAATATAAAAAATAAAAATTACTTGTGCTTTTTGATAATTATATCACTTATGACAATTACATGTGTGTTCAATTTACCGGAAGAGAAATCCAAATAAATAAGATTTATATTCTCATGAACACAAACACATTTCGATATATAAAAAGCAACTTAAATTAAGCCAGGCATGTAAAATTAAAAACAGCAGTTTTGACCTTCACTTTGTGACTTTTAGTTAAATTCAAGCATTCAAATTATACTTAAATTTTTAAAAAATGTTTGTCTTTTATAATATTTTGGAACGAAAATAAGGTGCTTAAAATTTCTAGAACTAAATCCGAAATATATTTTCCTAAGCAAATAATATTACAATAAACTTTAACACGTTGACCCAACCTCTCCTTAGACTTAATTATAATCAAGATTAGCTTTTCATTCTAATTGTTAGGCCATTATTTAAACACTGAATAGTCTACGGATTTTTCCGTTTGTCCGATCATGACAATGAGCACATGACAGGTGTGACTGGTCGACAGAGGATGCTTACTCCTCCATGGCACCTGATCCCAACTCTGATGTTTTTTAGAGGTCCATGTTTGTTTTGAGTCCGATTTTTGTTTCAATGGACTTTTGAGCTTGATAACTGTTCGTTCGTTATCTCCATATATCATTTCAAACAAATTGTGTCCATAATGAAATCATTTTTGAGGGTTTTACTCCTCTGTAAGGATAGGTCAAACTTGTATTATATCGATGAACGACAGCTCTGCAAGGGAGATTGATAAAAAAAGTCAAGGACAAAGGTTAGAAGTTCATATACTGCATTAAGTACGAGTTATTGTCAGACGATAACTTTAGTTCTTTTTGAACTTTTACAGTAGGCCTAAAAGGTAAGGTGCTGATTCTCTCTAAGTGAAAAAAACCTCTAATTTTAAGGTCAAACTTTGAAAGAGCAAAGTCAATCGTTCCTTCCTTTTTCCATCAATATTTTTCAGGTCTTCCATCCTCTGATTTTGTTCATAAGAGGGAATATAAATTCCCTGAATAAGTTTATTAGTTTTGATTTTTATGCAAACAATTATTAATTGAAAAAATTAAGGGATTGAATTGTATGTTGCTGAGACAATCCAAGACCTATTTCGAATATAGTGTCTTAAAAACTAATGAACACCACAGTAAACTTTTATGTAAGGAACTTGTTTCATAAAGGCTTTAGTCTACTTTTGTTGTCTGACTGATATGCTTCCGTGTGTATATTATCTGTGGTGATGACTGGGGTTTAGGCGCGACAGGTGCTTGCAGAAGCCGTACATTCCAATAAATTTTTTATATTATTTTATTTTTGGAATGTGGTTAATTTGAATAGTTC